CAGTTCTGATCCAAATGGAGATAGTAGTACGTGAGACTTCAGTCTGCGTAGCTGTTGATAGAGGAAAAATAATCTCTTGAATTTTTCCCTCCTCTGTTTGGATCGGTGGAGATATATTTTCAGTGCTCTTACTGGCCATAGTGATAGATCCATCGGTATCATGAGGTCCAAGTATATCATCAAAGTGTGTTCTCTCAGATCCAACGCGAATCTCTCTGACATCCTGGCAGCCGTAGCTAGATATAACAGGAACGAGGTTATCTGGGTCAGAGATTCAACGATGTAGATTCTAACGGTTCATAAGCCTCACTTGTGAGGTGTTGGAGCACTATATTCAGATCCCAAGCTGGAGCGTGAAACTTCCGCTTTTAATCCTCCAATCGGAATGCTCGTAGCAAAGGCGGGTAACTCTGGGGTTTGGTTAACTTGACTTGGCTCTCATAGTTATGACAGAGCTTATTGCTGCAAGATAGGTGGACAAAGTTGAGCCTTTTAGATTCTTAGTCTGACGTAGATAACATAAGTAGTCAGCCACTTGAGGATGAGTAGCATATCTAGCTGTAAATCCTTTCTTTGCAGCATGATTGACAAAACTGTGCCATTTGTCATCGTATAAGTTGCGAGTTGAGTTACGCAGGGCAAGCGTGACTGCTTTTTCCGTTCTGGCTGAATAACCTCTTATTCAGACACGCCTTGATACAATCCATACGTGAAGTTGGAATATTTCTGGCTTTCCGTGCACTTGTTTGGTGTGAGGATGTAATAACAGATTCGAGCACTCTGGAAGATGTAGTATTGGTTGTCTGATTCCTTGAATAAGAGTTGGAAACCACGTTCTCGCTGGTCAGTAGGCCGCGACCAAATTCAGATGGAGGCTCTGCGTTTGACTGATTTTGAGGAAGACTTGTGGGATTAACGCTGGTGGCGGAAAAGCGTATGCGTTGAGTCCTTCCCACGATATGCTTAGTGCGTCCGTTGCCCATGCTAGTGGGTCTGGAACTGGCGATACGAATGTTGTCAGTTGTTTGTTGAATCGAGTGGCAAATAGGTCTATTAGTGGAGTTCCTATTTCCTTGATAATTTGAGTGAATATCTCTGTATGGAGCATCCATTCTGTCGGCGATGGTAGGTGTGGCCGAGAGAGAGCGTCTGCTATTACATTCTTTGCTCTGGAATGTGACATGCTCTGACATGTATGTTGAGATTGTCGATTAAATCGAACAATTGAAAACATAGAGTCAATAGGTTCGGGGACCTGGTTGAGCTTAGTTTGTTCACATAAAACGCCACTGTCGAATTGTCTGTGTGAATCATCAACTGAGCATTCTGTAGTAAGTTTCTCCAGTGCATTATGGCGTTTATCACTGCTTGCATCTCTAGCTGATTTATGTGTAATTTGCTCTCTTGATTGCTCCATAGCCCTGATGCCGTCCTGTTGGCAAGATGGGCTCCCCAACCTTGTAGTGACACATCTACGTAGAGATGTGTTATCGATTCTGGCTCTATTAACGAGACGCCTACGCAAACATTCGATCTCTTGGTCCACCATAGTAGATGAGGTTTGACCTGATCCGGTAAACTGAACGGTAGAGAGTCGTCGAGATGCGAATTGATGATGACTTGTAACGGATGTAATTTTAGTCTGCCTCTGACTGTCATGTCTTGAGCTGAAGTGAGTAACCCCAACAGGCTCTGCCACTGTCGTAGTGGTAGCGGAGAGCGTAAGGCTTGTGGGATTGACTGTTGGATCTTGATCCATGGTCCTCCGGTACAATTATACGATTCTGCGCCGTTACAAATCAAATACCTAGAAATTGCAGATCTTGCGTAGGTTCTAGGTCCAACTTAAGTAGATTTACTAACCATCCTAGTTGTGTTAGTAGCTTGATGATGAAATTCAACTGTAGTCTGAGACGCTGTGGATCTGGATCCACTTGTATCCTGTCGTCGAGGTAAACTCGCTGCGAAGTCCTTGACGATGTAGGTGCACAACCAGGGGTGACTGCCATCGTTGAACTTTATGTAAAAAATCGCCTGACTGCCGTGCCCTCGTCCTTACTTGACAGGGGAGGTCTCTAACCTCATGAAGGCAGCCCAATCATGAAGGTTCAGATTAACTGGATTGTAAGGAGGCTTTGCTTCGTTCACTGATATGTTGTTGTCACTTGCAACCTATGTCTTGAACTGTGAACTATGATCGACCTCTGAAGCGTTGTCCATGTGGTCCAATCAGAACAAGGCATTTTGATTCTGTACTGTACCAGCTGTGATGTCACCCGGTGTAGCAGGAAAAGGAACCTTGTATAATTTAGTGCCGTCGTTGATATTAGATCAATCATCGGTCTTGTCCGTAGCTTCGAAGTTACCGCAGTGACCGCGTGTTTGAGGGTTAATGAAACTTCAGCAATCTTCAGCCGAATTACCTCGCTCTGTAATATTAATGCTGGGTAGGTTATTTTCTTGGCTGTTGTGAATGTAACTTCAGTCTTGAAGATAATGCCGACTTCCTTATATATAGGCTCAATAAACTTGCAAGTTGTCAGCTTGTAGACTGCATACATCAATGTAGCGTCATAATTGTAGAATTAAAGCTGAACTGTTGTACATATTTCTTCTCAGGAAATAGTTGACGATTATGTGTTTTACTCGCTGTAACAAGGCTGCTGCTCAATTCCTTAATTGAATTGTCTGCAGATCTGCGTAATGGTCATGCATGTAGATAATCGTATCGTGGTCCGGGATTGCATACCTAGCAATATATACGGAAATGGTGATTCCTGTGAAGATCTGCGAAACGTCGTTGATGCCCTTGATGTAGGTAGTCGGCCTGGAGATCCTTAATTAGGCTCTGCATCTGTAAAATAGTACTTCTCGTAACTATATAACGTTCTGTTGATAAAATAATACAGCAACGTTCTGCGTTGTAAATAGCCTGTGCGAATGCCTTCGCGTAGGCTTGTAGACGGCATGTGGCATACAGTTGATAGACAAGTACTGCGATGTCTCTGCTTCGCTGGATACTTGTGTGTAAATCGGCGAGGGGATCGACGTGGTGAATAACCCGACGAACTGTGCTTGTAGGGTGACCTGTAGTTTCGCTAAGGTCCTAATGAATCCCTCGACAACTATAGGACGAAGATGTCTTGAACGGACTGACGATTGGCTTCTATAGGGAGACCTTCATGGAGCTTCCTTGGCGAACGATGGTGGCTTTGTATAGCTCTCGGTGAATCCCTTATAGATCTTCTGAATGAAGATGACTTGGAGCCACTTAACCTTCGTGAAGGCCTTCTTGAAGGTAGCGAGTCTGAGTCCGACTCATTAGATAGGAGCTTGCTTCGCGAACGACCTCCGTGTTCTACAGGGTGTGAGCTCGGTGAAGCACTCCTCCTCCGTGAAGCCTTCTGCGAATGGTGAGGATCTAGGTCCTTCGTGGAGGCGGACTGGGACGTCCTTCGCGAAGGCTTCGATACGGGCTGGGTTGCCCTTCGTGGAGGCGTGTTTGTGGGCTCTGGGGCCCTACGCGAAGTCATAGCGGGCTCTGGGGCCCTACATGACTTATTATGGGTTGGGCTCTAGGGCGGCGGCTCTGAGGCCTCTGTAAACTGTATCAGTCTTCCATCAACATCATAATCTGGTTGACCAGGTCGTCTGAATGCGGTCTGCGCTGGCGTTGAGGCTGCCCTCTCTGTGGTAGCGACAGGACCCTCAGTTAGAATCTCAGCCGTCAGCGTAGGCATCTCTAGTTGGGTGTTGATCTGCGCTGAAGTGACGGTAGCCGATACTGGTCGCTTCTTATGCCATACATCTGGAATGATAATCGGAATGTCATCATCATATAAACACAATTCTGATGAAAAGTTTTTTATTAGCCTTCGTGGGTTTCCCTTTGACGAAGCTGTAGCCCTGGGGGTGCGGAGCGTAATAATAACGGCGGCGTGGAAGCTCTCCTAGTCTTAGACTGTGATGATGGAATGTCCTGGGATGCAGGTCGCTTCTTGGATATAGCGGACTGCGTCCCACACTTCTCCCCTGAAGGTAACTCAGGCGGAACACCAGACGGTAGAGGGTCGTCCGCCAACAGTTGACAGGGTATATCTGACTCTGATCTATCAGCCATGACTGAAGATTGTTTCCGAGATCTATCTGCTGCACGTCTCAAGACCTAATATAATATTTATCAAAGGCAGAATTAGACAATTTAATACATAAATTGCAGCGTGAAACAACTAGGGCATATTAAATGCGGATCGGCAGCAGAGAAACGTAATTTACAAACAGTGCAGATTTTTATTAACACAATCTGCTGAGCAAACACGGCGAACCGTGAATAAAGCAGCAGAAACACGAATAAATATCAATGCATGTTGAATAAGGATACTAGTTACACCTCTATAGATGAATATAAGAGGTAACAAAATAAATATAATTAAAGGATATAGTGTGTAGGGAGACACAGACGCGCTCTCACGTCCTGCTCACTGGGCGAACAAGGACAGAGTGAGGCACATGGCAGGAGGTGACGCCCTCGTTCCCGCGCTTTGGGGGGACAGATAACTCGGGAGTACTAATTAATGATTTTACATTGAAGGGAACTTCAATTGGGAGATACAAGTGTTCCACTGTGTTCGCAAGAAGGAGACAAGCAAAAGAGCATGAGTCAGGATAAGGAAAAATATACTGTTAATGAAAACAAGTGTTCCAGAATTGTTTGTGTTCAATTATGAAAAAACATGACCGATTGCATGGTCGTTTAGTCACTGCGATCAATCTTTGATTATTTCAATTAATTGGACCACCACTACTGTATCTGAAAAAAAACATATGCACACAGGCCGTAAAAACTATATGACTAATAAGGCATATTGTACAATCACATTTCTTCCTTCATATTTGTACACAAGCAACTGAAACATATTTGGGTTATGGTGATTTACGTTGCCTATTTTATGTAAATACGCAGCTCAGCTGGAGCTGTGACGCTGTGAAGCTGTACTCACCACCATGGACAGCACCTGCACCATCGCTATCCTGACGTTGCAGACGTAACTGAGGAACCATATGAACGACGATGTCCCGAACCAGTATGAGAAACACACCAAGAACGCCGTTCCCATCAGAGTTCCTTCCTCCTGGAACAGTGAGTGAGTTTAGTTTAATGCTGCTTTTAGCAATATTCCAGCAATATCACGTCAGTGGACACCAGAAATGGGCTTCACACATTGTACCCATGTGGGGAATCAAACCCGGGTCTTTGGCATGACGAGTGAACACTTTAACCACTAGGCCACCCCACCGCCCTTCCAGGCAACAGGTACAGGTGGGGTCATTACCGGTACTTGTTGGACAATCATCTTTGGCACAAAGCTGGGTTAGACAGGAAAAACACAACAGTGTCATGGTTGATGAAGGTCATGGTTCTCCTTCCTATTAAAGTAACTTTGAGTGTTGAGAGATATCAGCAAACGTCCACTGAGAAACCTTCACCATATATCAGCAAACCTACCGCAAACCCTACATATCAGGAAACATCTTAAAAGCATGTTCTGTTGATTTATCAGTCTCACAACTTTGAACATTACTTCATTTCAGCTTGAAGTGGGAGAAAACGCTGAGGTGATGAAGCAACATTCCATCAAAATCACAGCAAAGCTCAAAGGCTGCTTGTGTGTAAGTGAATAAAATAAAGCATCAGAGTGAATTTCTAAAGCTGCCTGTGTATGACCCAATATACAAACTAGGGCTGCAACGAATACACCATGTGGCGAATATGATACATATCATGAATATTGGGTAATGAATACGAATAATTATTCACGAATACAATATTTAGTTAAGATATTTATGCACAATATGGATGCCCATGTTGACAGTGTTAATTTGCCACAGCAATAACCAGTGATCTCCTGACACTAAAAATTTGAGCATCCTTATGTTTGGAAATAGCGCTATATAAATGCACTATTATTATTATTATTATTATTATGTAATAGTTAATCAACAGTACCATGTGCGACCTTGGCAAACTCACATGACTTGCGCTACTGCAAGGCTAGTACATATTCCATTCTTGCATATCTCACTTTCCAAAAGTACACAAGGGTTCAAGTAACACGTGCTCCCTTAAAAAAAATCGTAAATATTCGTTAATACTCGGTTCTGGTTACCACGAATAACGAATTGAATTCATGAAGGGCTACGGTTCGATTCAATGAATATGCGAGTGAATCGTTACAGCCTTAATACAAACCACAGAATGTGATGAGACTTTCATCTGGTACAGCAGCAAGGCAATCATCGTGAAGATCACCATCAGTGGCCCATACAACTCCTTCTGTATCCGCTGTAACAGACCGTGCATGTCGCTGAGTCAGCAATAGGACAACAAAGAGCAATTTGGACAGAATATATATTAGAAACTTCAGTGTGAATAATCAAGATGCCAGCAAATGCAAATTAGAGACCACTTGGTATCTGGCTGAAATTTCTTCTTATTTTGAGTCCGCTCTATTTACCTCTATATGCCACAGAAAGTATTTTCAGAGGGATACATGACAAGTCTGTGTTTGGGCAACTCACCTGTCTCTGACTGGTCGGTTTCTGCGGTATCATGGAAAACAGCAACCTGGAAGAAGAGATAGAGCCTGCATAGAGTGTCATAGAGAATGTTTGCAATATTCCAGCTGTAAGGCAGCAGATTGTAATTGAGTCTGGACCAGACAATCCAGTGATCAACATCATATGCATCCGGATCTTCATTGATAGAACGTTTGTTTGTTTGTTAGCTGTTTGTTTGTTTGTTTGACACCATGGTGTCTGGCCATCAGCCAGCTTTAAATACTGCTCACTACTGCACTCAAGCAATATTTCAGCTATATGAAGGTGGATTTGAAATAGTAAAGTCTGAACCAGATATACTAGTGATTGACAACATGTGCATTAATTCATGATACAACGACATGCAAATCAACCGTTCCATAGAGTCTGGCCACCCAAGTTTTAGTCAGTTGAACTTACAAGCAACATCAGTTGCAGGGGATCTATTACTGTCTTCCGTACCACCATAATATCAAATTATCCGAAGGAATCATTATGTTTCTAGACATTTTTTGCTCACTTACAAATGTATTTGGTATAATGTATGGATAGGTTAAGGAAACTGGCATTTTCAATATGGCTGCTATGACGGCCATGTTGAAAATGAGACATAGTACCAAATTGACTCTTTAATGACACTTTTACTGAGATGTACGTTTAGATGAATGAGATGTTGTTGAATCACTGGATTCATATTGTGGTACACGAAGATTAAATGCCACCAGAATAATACTATTTGGACTCAAGAAACCATGAACAAAATGATTAATAAAAGTCAGCCACTTACCGCCTCTGAACCTCTTTAGGCTCGACATCAAAATAAGGCCGCAGAATGTCGATGTTGCCATAGATACTCCAGGCTTTCTGAGCACTCTGTTTCCCTGCAGTCCACATCTGTCATAAAAGAATTAATGAGAAGGTGATTGGTCATTTCTATTTTCTAAGATTTTGACTACCTTTTGTCTCACACCTTCAACATGCCTTAAAAAAATCCACTTAACTTACTAGCATGGAAAGCATTAATATAAAGCTCTCAATAAAAATAATTTTGCTGAAAGTGATATTCACTTATCTGAGGTGAGGTGAGGTGAAATTGTGTTTAACGTCGTGCTTGAGAATATTTCGCTCATATGACGACGTGCATGCGTGTGTATGTGTATGTGCGGCTGCTTGTACTAGCCCAGACTTAAGCTGGTTTTATAGTGCTAGCCCACTGAGATACCATGCCGCATTGAAGCATGAATACCCCACTCAGACACATTATACTGACTCCGAGCCGACCAGTCCTTGTTGTACCCATTAATGCCAAACGCCAGGCAGGGACCAACAAGTACCATATTTTAACGTCTTTTGGTATGACGGAATCGGGGATCGAACCCGCGACCTTCCGCTCTCCGGGCGGACGCTCTAACCACTACATATTCACTTATCTAATAAGAATAAGAACAAATACACATAAACTACATCATGTGTGTAGCAACACATATAAACATGGTGTAAAATTCATTGTTATTGTAAAACAAAACAGATCATACCATTTGTGTGACATTTTGACTAACACGCTGCCGAACATCATCCATGAACTTGCCATCTTTGTTTCCCTCTTGCTGTGACCCTGAATAAAAAAAACTGAGTGAGTGGATAAGTATTGAGTGGGTATCATTGGGTTGATGGGTTGTGAGTGGGTGGGAGAGAACCAAACAATCCAGTGATTCACACTGAGCAACAGTCCAACAGCTGTTTGCAGTATGATGTTACACAATCAACCAAGTTACAGTGTGAGTGAGTGAGTTTGGTTTTACGTCGCTTTTAGCAATATTCCAGCAATATCACGTCGGGGAACACCAGACATGGGCTTCAATCATGTGGGGGTCTTCAGTGTGACGAGCGAACGCATTAACCACAAGGCTACCCCACCATCACAGGGGAGGGAGGGAGGGAGGGGAAGGTGAGGAGTATATAACACAACAGATACCAATATTCAAGACCCAAGTGAGCAATCAGGTCTTATTATCAGGTCTTATTGACTCTCAACTTAACCATCTCTGAACTGAGGATGTTAATCATGAACTTCTCAACTTTACTGCAGAACCTAGGTGCATGTTCTGTAACTAAACACAATATCACCTGAAACATGTTTACTTTCACTTTGGCAACCTGCTAATTACCAGACAAAAGTTGATGCTCATAACACGTCTTCAGACAAGCATGATGAACCTTCTTTCATCTTACGAAAGTCATCTCCATCTCCTTCCATCTCCAGTACTGCAGAACCTTGGTGCATGTTCTGTAACCATAGCAACACAATATCACCAAACATGTTTACTTTCACTTTGGCACCTTAATTACCATAATTAATATTTTAAGAACCATCATAAAAAGTAGATGCTGTCAACACGATAGATTCAGACAAACGTCAGATGATGAATACTTGGGCTGAAAACACAACCAGGAAAGATAATTATCACTGTCAGCTTAGAGAAAGTTCCTAATATATTTTTATTTATTTGTGTGTGTGTGTGTTTGTGTGTGTAGTGTGTGTGAAAGAGGGAGAAGAGAGGGGGAGGGGGGAAATGATGATTTATATAGAGAGTAGCATGTACAATCTGACTTATACCCCCATCCCCACCCCCAGATCATTTACTCTGCATCATTATTAGAGTGAGCCTATGAATTGGATCTTATACCACTCTAAGCAATATTCCAGCAATATCACAGCAGGTCACCATGGGCTTTACACATTGTACCAAAATGGGGAATTGAACCTTAGTCTTCGGCTTGACAAGCATAAGCTTTAACTCTTTCCATTCGAAGGACGAGATATCACGTCTGAGGGGGTTACAACCCTTCAGTACGAGACTATTTTTAGCAACATGACACTTACATACGAGGGACGTGATATCACGTCTCCATGGTTGCAACGGTTGACATGGACCATTCATGACTAACATAACATCAAAATCCATATGAACTGAAATGATTTCCAAACATCTTTATTCACTTTCATTAAACTGTTTCAGACCAAAATAGAAAAAAATAGGTCATCTTTAGCACAGAAACATTGGAAATGCAGTTTTTTTTCTAAAAGGAGAATAATTTGAACTTACACATCAGTGTGGTAATTGTGACAATTGTTTTCAATTCAGTGACTACACTATGGTGGAAGAACAACCACAATTTAGTAGATTTATGTCATCACTATTATAGGGTCATGACATCCAAATCTAAAGAACGATGAAACGAGTGTTACCTGTGGTAACAACTTTAAGAACAGTCAACAGTCAAAGAACATTGCTGACAGTAACAATCAAACGCCAAACGTCCTAACATCTACTTTCATCATCACAAATGGCAGATAGAGATTGACTTGCAGTCTGATACAATTTTCAACGACCAGCCATTTAACGCTGTATGGTGACCGAATGTCAAGATCATATAGCACGTGGTTTTGACCAAGGGAGATAATCAAGAAAACCCTAACAATTACACTGTCACAAAGTACACAAATTGCATTCGAAGGACGAGGATACACGGCTATAAAACAGTGAAATATGTTTAATATGTGTAGACGAGTTATCATGTCCCTCATATGGAAACACTGTAAAAAATCCAATGTCATATCTCGTCCATCGAATTCAGAGGCTACAGCTGGAAAAATCTGGTCGTATGCAAGGGTTGTAGATGACTGGACGTAATATCATGTCCTTAGGATATATGTGCAGCTGTGAAAATGTTTCATCATATGGAAAGAGTTATCCACAAGATTACCCAACCACCCGATTGAGAACACCTATAAAAGCAGACATCATGTCAGGTGAACATTGGCCAAATTTTGATTGTACAAACTAAACAAAGAATATCATATGTGAGTTATTTAGCCATGTCAGTCCTCTGAACAATTTGCAGAGCTTCAGATAAACAGAATATTTGTGAATAATATACAAAATAAATCACAATTACCAAATAATGAATTTTGAAAAGCTTGTGTCCAAACAAATCATTTTCATTCAAAACTGGGCACTGAAATACATTTTTTGGAGACACATAAATAAATAACAAATAACAGTTTTTAAAAGCCTTGATGTATGGTGATCATTAGATACACTAAAAGAGACAATCTCTGAAATTATACTTTCCACAACATCACAAAGTCACAGTCATATTTTATTTCAAAGTAAGTCACTTTTCGGATTGTTAGGTGTACATCCCGTGAAAATAATCATTCGAGATAAGTAGTTCTTGGACAATGCAGGAATGATAGTCCTTGATACATCATGTGTTCTTACAGCCCTTTGCTGACAGAGAAACGTCAACTTACTGATTGTTGATCAGCTTGCCACGGAGACGAGTCAGCCATGTTGACAGTTTTGTTGTGCACTTCCGCTACAATGAACCAGAGTTATGCCCCTTGGAGCACCTGTGACTTATTCTGTTCTTTCCCAGTGCTTCAATTGTTGGAACATAATTTAACGCAATTAGTAAAGGTTTTTCTTTCTGATATGTCTTTTATTTTGTTTCAGCTATTAACAAAATAAAATTGATCCTGGAAAAGTGTATTCCTTTAGTTTTATTTATTTTTTAATATACGTGTATTTCATTTTTATTATATTTCAAACAACAAGGACTTTATTAACAAAATCAAATTGAACCAGGAAAAGATAATTACTTTGGTTTTCATTTTTTTATATTTCAAACATCAAGCACTTTTCATGATAATACTTACAAAAACTTTGCAATTCCTTGGTATTTCAACCGTCGACCGGTATTAGAAAAATGTTAAAATTTAACTCTGCCTAACGGACGTGACAAATTCTGAATATTACCATATAGTAACATCAATTAATGTTTACATGTGATGACATTCAATGGATGACGATGTTTTTAATTACGATTAAGAGGGCAATGAGGTGAATTTAGGATCTTCCATGACGACAAAATATATTTGGAGGACCTACATAATCATAGTTGTCCTAGTTGCGGTGGGGTAGCCTGGTGGTTAAAGTGTTCGCTCGTCACGTCGACGACCCGGGTTTCGATTCCCCACAATGTGTGAAGCCTATTTCTGGTGTCCCCCGCCGTAATATTGCTGGAATATTGCTAAAAGCGGTGTAAAACTAAACTCATTCACTTGTTGCCTAACCCCACATGACATAAGTGACCCGTGAAGATCCGGGGTAGAATAGGTCTTCAGCAACCCATGCTTGCCACAAAAGGCGACTAACGGGATCGGGTGGTCAGGCTCGCTGACTTGGTTGACACATGTCATCGGTTCCCATTTGCTTGTCTTAAGAGGCGACTAACGGGATCGGGTGGTCAGGCTCGCTGACTTGGTTGACACATGTCATCGGTTCCCATTTGCGCAGATCGATGCTCATGCTGTTGATCACTGGATTGTCTGGTCCAGACTCGATTTTTTTACAGACCGCCGCCATATAGCTGGAATATTGCTGAGTGCGGCGTAAAACTAAATTCACTCACTCACATGACATAAGTTCCACACAAGCAGGGGACCCGTGGCTTTCGATCTAAGGATGTGGGTCTCCACTTACCTATGCAAGTCGTAAGAGCTGACCAAATGAATCGGGTGACCGAGCACGGTGACGTGGTTGTTTGCCTGTCGTCGATGCTCATCACGTCAATCACTGAATTGTCTGGACGGGCGCGATTGTTTACACGCAGACGGCGGTCTCTCACCTCTCCTGAAATAATGGAATTTAACTACCAACAAACACAATAAAGTCATAGTTGATGAAAATGTTAATGTACTGTTCAGGTGTTCACGACCATCTTGGGACATGGGTGGCTGTGGTACCGCAATTCACAGTGCTGAGATACGTCACTTAGTCTTGCCGGAAACCTATAACTGGGGGTTCTATTTTCGGATTAACATTGATTATGTTTTTGGGTTCCTCAGAAACATATACCCCTGCATCCCCCTAGGCTTTCTTCAGACTGTCACTGCTGCCCACCTCTAATACAACTGAAATACCGTTAAATGCGGCGTTGAATACAACTTACTTACCTCGAAGGCACGTTTTCATGAGTGAGTGAGTGAGTATAGTTTTACTCCGCTTAAAGCAATATTCTGTTCGGTTCTGATTGCCCTCGAAACACCAAGTACGAGTCGTAACGATTTTTGGTCTAAATATGTCTGAGTGAGTGAGTTTCGTTTAACGCCGCTTTTAGCAATATTCCAGCAATATGACGGCGGAGGACACCAGAAATGGGCTTCACACATTGTACCCATGTGGGATCGAACACGGGTCTTCGGCGTGACGAGCGAACGCTTTAACCACTAGGCTAAGCACGCACGCGCACACGCGCGCGCAGACACACACACCTCTTCCTCACTCCCAACCACCCCCAACGTGAGTGAATTTGGTTTTACGCCGTTTTAAGCAATATCCCAGCAATATCACGGCGGGGAACACCAGAAGTGGGCTTCACACATTGTACCCATGTGGGTTTTTTATCCCGGGTTTACGGCGTGACGAGCGAACGCTTGAACCATTGTGCAATAGAGCATTTCCTTGACCAGTTGATGTGATGGCAGACACGGCCAAGGGGGATGACCAATGAAGGCTATAAATGTCATATACAGGAATTAACGAAAGTGACAGAGTGATACATGGTGACTGACAAGACAATGTACACTGCGGTAGTGATAAGGATTAAGTATGCAGATTAGCGCCATATAAATAATAAAATTAAGTCTCACATGGCTTGGTTACATAGTTTTGGTCTTTAGAAATATTTGGACGATGGCTGTCCTGAATGAACACTATTTATGTTTCTGTCAGTGCTCACTTCCAATATCCCTTACTCTTCCTTGTTAATCTGATTGAATGATTGGTAATACTACCGTTACAACAAATCGATATATTTTTTTATATAACGGTATAAATAACCTTTTGAGCTTCCCGTTGACCTTTTTATCTCTTTGACGGAATCTCACATAACAAGCAATAACATTTTCGGAACTTTTTCCATTTGATTTGTAACTCCAAATAATTTTTTCCTCAAACAGTTCTCTATTTATGGATAAATAAACGTGTTTTTGTACCATTTTCTCTATCTTAACATGTATCGGAAATTTGTGCGGTAAACAGCGTCAACACGAGTGTTGAGAAAACATACGCCTGTGTGTGTAATAATCTTGCAGCTACATTGCATCATTGGTGGAATAAGGCTCTATGTTTACTATATGGCTAATGACCTGTCCATTGACGGGAGTCCGGTTCTATGTTAAGAAGCTTTGTTCCACATGTGTTAACTGCGAGAGGAGTATATTGATGGCGCAACAAATAATAACAGTATTCTGGTGACAATGAACTCGTCCGAATTGAAGGGACAATGTCATGAGTTTGGGGGATATTTTGTCCTTCAACGTCAATTCATCTATATACGTACTTGAAATTATTTTTTAAATGACTGTAACAATCAAAATAACTAGATCTATCATTTTAAGATACGCGTATCCTAAATCCAAAGTGATACAAAGCTAAACTGGCCTTGTCAAAACTTTTTCAGCTATGATTTCAGTCATATCCTGTACAATGTGTTGTCTCAGATTTATATACAACTTTCCATCCATCTTTAAAAAATGAACTTTTATCTGAAAGAGAAGTCCAATTATTAAATCGGAACATAAATATATTTGCCGTGCAGATTTTGAGAAGTCCCCTCTAAATCAGCTGAAGCGTACGATTACTCAAGGTTGTGGTATATTACGGAGGGTGTTGCATTAAGAACACCAGAGGTTTCCACGCTGGTGAGTTTATGTCTTGCGTATCAAGGCTTGGTCATAGCAACGTGAAGGTATTTGGTTTTATTTTCTATAGTAAACTGTGGAGTTTATGATATTTGTGATATTCTAAGATGCATCTATTTCCAAGGATATAGTGATCTAAGTGGAATCGACCATTTGAAAGGTAGGTAACACCGCTTATACAAAATAATTGTCCGATCAAAACACTCCACCCTGTATTTCCTGAGGCCATCGCCTACAACCTGTTTGCCAATCCTAGTAAAAGCCCAAGGCTATGGGACCCCCGAAGAACTGGTGTAAATCACCCCGTGCTTGTAGGTGATGACTTACGGGATCGGGTTGGCAAACTAACTGCCTTGGCAGATATGTCATCGAATCCCAGTTACGTGGATCATTGCTCACGACGTCAGTCACTGGATTGTCTGGTCCAATGCCATTATTGTTATTGGTGAGTGTGGAGTGAAACAACGGCGTTTGGTAAAAAGCTCCTCGATAAAAATGTACCGGTAAAGAGTCATACATTTGCCTAGGTAAAAAGGTCCTCCGGAAAAAGTCCTCTTTTCATTTTCTAACAAGAAATGTATAGAAAAATAGTGCTTTTTCGGTGTTTACTTTTTCACTTTCTTACTAATGTAATACCAATCATAGAGTAGCAGAGTCGTGGATTCAAATCTGAGTTCACTCTGAATATAGGCTGCTAACAGTATAGTGTGTAATTAGTGACGTGTAACTGACCTTAAGAAAGTCTTGAGGACAATGCGCACTGTGCCTAACTTAGCACAGCTCTAATGGTTTACTGAAGGTAACAGTTTTGTAGCCTTGTAATTGACACGTGGAAGTAGGTTGACAGTACATTTAGAACATTTCATTATATTTGTTTAGATGTAATCTATATGTTTTAAGGTAGCAATCATTTCCGAACAGTTTTTGCTATGAGATAGTTCAGTGGTTCAAGCTTTCGCTAGTCACGTCGAAGGCCGGGGTTCGATTACCCTAAAGGTTACTACTTTAGAAGCCCATTTGTGGTGCGCCCCACTGACCTAGAATATTAATTACTTAAAGGCAGCGTAAAACCATACTCACTAACTCGAGCAAATTATTCATCATCTGATCTTTGTTTGACTGTAATCTTGAAAGTTAGGGTTTGGGAGCCTTCTCGCGAATATATTTGTTTGGATGTTTCAGAATTACCCTCCTTGTTCGTTTTGCATGTGATCAAATGGTTTATATTTGAGAATTTCGACAGCATCAGTATTGCTGAGAACAATTATCTAATGCATCTTGAAGCATCTTGATTTTTTGTGGAGAACTAATATATGGTCCGGTTATCCAGCATGTATCAATAATGCGTATCTGCAAAAGTGAAGTTATCGTTGTACACATACAGACCATGCAGATATTTTATAGCGGTTGAAGACTGCAACTGCCGGATGTAAGAGTTACATCCCTTGAATGGCGCCAAAGCAGTTTTGAAAGCCACCCGATTTACAAAACACATAAACGTATATCAACGATCCAAAAGAAGAATTGACGGTCTTATACAATAAGAGTGTAGGTTTTGTTGTAATCTGTGTTAGATAAAAAGAATGCCATTATTCGTCCGGTCTAACTATCAGCAGATAATCTAAAACCCCAAACTGACATTTCCGAGATGGGTCCGTAGACAGGTAGATTGTTTACGTAAGTCAGCGATTTCTGGTGAAAGCTACGAACACTATTAGATATAGAAGTGCCATTCCACGACAGAGTGTATCGAACTATATCGATTGTAGCGTAGATTGGGATGTGTTGTGTCTGAAAAACATGAAAAGTTGCTTCCAACTGGGTTTCTGCTGTAATGGCAAATGGCTTCTATCAACTTAATAAACATGGAGTTCTTGACATATATGTCCAGTACCAGTTTAATCCACATAAATGTCTAGTCCAAAATTATTTGTTGACTATGTATGTAATAGCACACTCTCTATGTACTCCATTCTGATGTATCTGATAAGTGGTGAGTTAGTAATATAATTTCATAGAAAATTTCAATCTTGTCTATTAAATAAAACTGTTTTTCTCTTGGTGCCTGTGTAATCTGTACCCTGAGAATATTTCATAGGCTAACATGTCTATTTACATTTGGTTTCTTTTCAGACTCATGTAAGCCACGGTGTCACAATGGTTTTCCAACATATATCACGTATGTATCTATAAAGAGTGCACACAATAATATTAATGTCATCTCACTGACTCAAAGTTAAGTGAGATTATGTTGAGCATGGCCATACATAATTAATTTTTACATTTTTGATATCTCCTCTGAAACTACAAGGCCTATGGAGCTGAAAGTTTGCATGAATCATCCCAGCTGTAGTGTTTCTAAAACTGCTTACAGAATTCTAGTCTGACATGGCTGTCACGGCTAGAGACTAGAAGCTGTAATTCTATTAGCTGATTATGGTTTGGAAGGATAACATGCATGGATGAGCAACTTCTTTCTTGCAGTGAGAGCGACATTTCAATGTAGGGTCTAACACTGCTATCAAGCAAGTGATGTGTCAGAACCTACACCAAAGCGTCGCTCTCTCAGCCATCAAGAAGTTGTTCACCATCATATTGTTATCCTTCCTTACTGCTCCAACTTTTAAATGCCTCTCAAAGTAGTGATTATGGTTTATTGACATGATTTTTGTCTCCTGTTCATTACAAAAGCACACTTTATAGTTGTCTTGCTAAAAGAGCGAATGAATTAGAAAGTGAGAGTGAGTGAGTTTAGTTTTACGCCGCTTTTAGCAATATTCAAGCAATATCACTAGTGGTGGTCCGATTAATTGAAATAATCGAAGATTGGTCGCAGTGACTAAACGACCAGGCAATCAAACATGATTTCTCATAATCGAATGCAACCAATCTTGGAACACTTGCATTAACAATATTTTTCACAAGGCTGGTTTCGTCTGTGTCATTAAATTTACATTTCATAAGCACTACAAGCTTGTTCCAAGTCATGATTGAATGTATCTTAAAGAATCCAGGAAATCTGTGTTCCTAACATACTACTCATCATTTAAATATGCGAAATTTGCAAATGGACTTTATGCAATTTGAAAAAAACACCAAATTACTACATGTTTTTTCTTTATTTTTTGTGTGCATTAACAAAGATAACAGGAACATTTGATAAATGACGCTAACCAATTATTTTCGATGATTGATCGGTTGTAATGGACCAATCATCAATTATTAGATTTTAACCAATTCCCTACACTAAATTTCACGGCAGGGGACACCAGAAATGGGCTTCACACATATGGAAGAAGAAAGTGACTGATCAACCATACCTAGAGGTTTTACATGACGCATGATTCGTGCGTATTTGACGCAACAATTTTGTAAAAGACACTCAAAATATTATACGAGTCAAGCTTGACGCAAGTTTTATGGGTGACCCTCAGAATTCAGTTCAATAAAATCAGTTTGATAAGCAAACAATGATAGTTTTCGATGATAGTTTGACTTTGACAGAGCTGTCAGATTGTTCCAAAGAACTCAGAGTAGACAGTCATCCTTGCTACTGGCTCGGGTGACTCTGCTACAAAAAGACCACATTAGTACTATTACCCTCGAGAGAAGCATACAACTTATATTACTAACTAGTTATATGAATGACAATACAACATAAAACAATAAAATATTTGCCAAACTCTTGCTTTTTGATTTATAAACACAAAGAAATATTAAATTTTCATGACTCCCAAATATTGAAATTTGAGAATGACTCCTAAAAATAGATATGGTGAGTCACCATGACTTCCGTTTTCAAAGTCTGTGTAAAACTCTGCTAGAGACATTAACATGATTAAGAGACAGTACTTCTTACTTGCCTGGTCTTCATTAAGGGAACAGTGCAAGGACTAGTCATGTGGGAGTTGGAGTAATTTGTCTATGACCAGATGGTGGCCACATAAATACAGGCAAACACTTAGTTGCGGGTACAGCAACGTTCAGTAAACTTGGACAAAGTACTGTGACTATGTGTCCCAGTCCACCCAGCTGTGAATGGGTACCTCGTAAGGATGGCAAAGCCGCAATAACTTGCTGCGCCTAGTGGCAGCAAGAGTTGTATGATCCCCAGGGAGTTGAGATTGATAATAAGATGTGCCGTTGAGATTGACATCCAATGATCGAGGGGAAAATACCAGTGCCTTGAGCATGCACTATGTACGCTATATAAGGCCAGACCAATTTTATTTCTTGTTTTACAGATTTTTGTCCTCACAAAACCTAAAGGCAGGAGGGAAAAAATAAAAAAATAAAATCACCAATCAAAGTAATATTCCTTCTAAATAGTAAAACCATTTTACTTTTGGCAAGTTATGAAGTGTATATGGGGCAAAATACAATAATAAAAAAACGTTCTTGTAAGTTTTTAATTTTGGCCAATAAAAACTTTACGATTTTATTTTTTGAGCGGGGAAAATTAAATTATTTTTTATTTTTTAATTCTTGAAAATATACGACCGGCGGATCCGTAAAACAAGAATAAAATTGGTCTGGCCTAAATATCCATAATAATAATAATAATAATTATAATCGAAATATATACATTTTTAATGTAATCTCCAATTTTAAGGGTTTTTCCCCATTTGTTTTTCTAATTAATGTTTTTCTTAACTAATAATACAATGAAATGCACGCATGCAAGAGAGACACTGGAATTGTAATTAAACAATAAAAGTGGTTAAAATTTTACAATGCGGACAGCTTTATGCTGTTGAGCACATATTTGTTTGTGAATATTTGTCAAATTTAATGGTTAGTTTACTTCATTCAAGTGTGTTATACTAAAACAACAAAATTGTAATTAATCGATAAAATGGTTTTTACAATCAATAATTATTTTTAATCCTTCTTTCGATCGATTTTCGATTATTTTCGATCATCGGAACACCACTATTCAAAACCGCAAGTGATTGTACAGTATAAACTGTAAATTTGGTTCATACCTTTCTGCCGAGATAGTTTCAGAAGTGAGATGGAATCTTGATCTGTTTACAGTGCAGTCTTTAGCACGGTATGGAAGTCAGTGATGTTGGTGTGGAGGCAATCCAGGAAGAGGTAGTTGTTGCTGACGGTGACCTGGATGATGGCTCTGATGTCGTGTTGCCTGGACTACAGGTAGGACATTTACCATCAGGGCTCCAGATAACTTTTGGGGGTGTGAGTGTACTTACACATCATATTGCAAGTGGAGGTGTACTGAGAATTTTGAAGGAGTACTGACATGTTTTTGTGTGAGCGAGTTGATGTGGTTTGTCTGGACGATTCATCGATCACTATTTCCAGCCATGTATTTGTATTTGAAGACGCGTGAGATATAACTGAGCGACTGTGTAATGCGCGAAAATTTCAGGTCCGACTGGATATAGATAGGAACAGTGTAGTTTTTAGCCAATCGAAAAATAGTGACGCATATCGTTGCATGGCAACGCAAGGGATTCCTACTGTCGGGGTTTCCTTATGTGTCAAATCGTGTTTTGCAAAATAAACTTAACAAGTATTTATCCGAAATAGATTTCCATTTGCACGATACGCACGGAAATTAAATGTTAGACGTACGAAGGTATTTATGTGCGTACACGATACGCTTGAAATCTGATATTGTGTTGTACCATTAATTGATTTTGAGGCGTACATTACGCCTGTACGCCTCTTATCTGTAGCCCTGACCATGATCTACACTTGACACAAGTTGCTGTTGGGAATATCCTTTTCTGTTCTGTTGATTCCCTCGTCGAACTAACTATAAGTTGAACAAGAATCAGACCATAAAAGAACCAACAAACAACAAAGTGCTGTAACGAAGCATCGAACTATTGATTGATTGCAATTGTTGAGTATCTCATAGCAATTAATCGATGATAGAAGCGAAAAATTATCGATGCAACGATAGTATTGTGACTATCGATAGTTTAGTAACTGGCTTCCGTTGATAAATGAGCAGCGCAAAATACAGGATGTACCAGATTCGTTCACTTTGATTTAGATTTAGAGTTTCCTCTTACACAAATATAAGTTTATGTTTTAACTGTTTACTTGATTTGTGTTTCAAGTTTCTTGTCAGTTATTAAAAGAGACTGAAACTTCTGCAACTTGTTTTTATTTCATATAAGATATACATTCATTTAGGAAATAACTAATGTTGGGTATTGCCAAATTTTCATATTGCAATATATTGTGAAAGTGTAACACATGAGTTAAGGTAATGAAATTACTGTTTCCTTTCATTTGAAATAATGCCACTGGCCACTGTCAGGACTCAAAATGTATTTGTTCAATTATATTAACAATAAACATTCTCAAAACTATTAATGTATAATAATGTAAAGGAAGTACAAATGTTATTAGTAGTTTTACTACATCTCGAAAATTACCGATCCTATCGGTTTGAACCGGTTCGCGAAAAGTGTCCGCAATATATCGTATTGTGAAGTTCGAATTGCAATATACCGGTTAACCATAACCAGAAATAACTGCAAATGAGACAATTCAAGGAGAAAATACAAACTATTGTAATAGTATTTCAAAAGTTGGTCGCAATAGTCTATCACTATCGCAATAGTTGTTTCCCCGTCAACAGTCACCCCCTAACAACTTTATTACGAGCACCTTTAGAATCCCTCACCATGTTTTGTAAGCCAGTAACTTACAACGTGAAGTGACGTCACATGTCACGTGACCATCACTCACACACTCCTTCATTGAAGAAACTTTTGCAAATGTTTCTCCCACAGTGGGGTTTCAAACTCACAAAGCTCGGATTTGAAGTCCAGCTCTCTACCAATTGAGCTACGGAGACCTCAATAAAACAAGGGTTCAAAATTTAGGGTCATACTTGCTGTTTGTTTCAAGCTGGAAGTTGGCTGGCTAATAGTAATATTATTATGATGGAATGCTTGAAATTGATTTATCATTGGAGTTGGTACAATGTTTGTAGAGAGGTGTGTGATAAATTGAGAGAGAGGCTAGACAAGATGTTTATGGTACCACTAGCCAGGAGAGATACTGAAACTTTGATCCTTTTCTGGTAGCACACCAGTTTCCTCTATCCAACGTTAGCTAAGATAAAGGGACAAAACAAAAACAACAAAAAACAGAAGAAAAATCCCTTTCCCCACCCATACTAATTGTACATTTCTTTTGGATCCTTTTAAAGGGGGACAAGCCCCCCTAAAAATGACAGTATTCCTCAAAATTAAAATTGACAGTATAATCTCTTTATCTCCATAATGTAAACAACACTGCACTGAGGCCTTACAACTAACCCTAACCCTAAACCCTGGTAAGCCCCCTGCTAAAACCCCCTTAAAATTAAAATGACAGTATTCAGACAGTATAAAAGAAACTCTTTATTTCCGTGTGTAAAACAACACTGCACTGAAGCCTACAACTAACCCTAACCCTAACCCCAACCCCAACCCCAACCCCAAAACCCCAACCCCTAACCCTAACCCTAAACCCCTACAAACCCCTCAAACCCCCTAAAAATGAAAATGACAGTATTCCGTGGAAAACTTAAAAATGACAGTATAAAAAGAAACTCTTTATTTCCGTAATGTAAACAACACTGCACTGAAGCCTTACAACTAACCCTAACCCTAACCCTAACCCTAACCCTAACCCTAACCCTAACCCTAACCCCTAACCCCAATCCCTAACCCGAAACCCCGGCAAGCGCCCTAAGACCCCCCTTAAAAATTGAAAATGACAGTTTTCCGTAAAAATTAAAAATGACAGCATAAAAAGGATGTCTTTATTTCCGTAATGTAAACAACACTGCACCGAAGCCTTTCAAAACCATAACAATTTGAGGCAAGTACGACCTCTGTAGCCATTGGAACACAGCCGAGGGAGTCGGTGTAATAATATTGCAAAGTCACAGTTAAGCATAGGGACAGGTGTGATGAAGTCAGGAAATTGCAACAATATTCTGAAACAAACAGATACAAATATGTTTGATTTCACATGTGCTTATTGAGGGATTCTAACGGCAGGCCTAAAATTAACTCAACGAATTAGGTATTACAGTGGCAGTTGAACATAGAGCGGCAGAGTAAAAAAGTCAAAGACAGTACGATGTGAAAGCAGTGATTATAGCAACAAAGACTGAGAACGTATTATTCACCTCCCTGCAACAATGATCAGGTTTCCAACTTAGGCTGAGTATCCCATGCAAGAATCATCTCCACATTGGTCCTCTTGTAATGCATGCCAAAGGAAAGACTCCAGAAGATTCTCCAATTCCATGGGTCAGAATATTGTGGAAAGGCCTACAGGATTGTAGTACCCTGTAGGCCTGTAGTACCTTCCAGCAGTAAATACAGTCGAGCACCGTTGTCTCGATATTCATGGGACCAAGAAAAAATATCGAGTTATCCAAACTTTGAGACATCCAACCAGGGCATATCATCACATATCACAATGAAAGAAAACAAAACGCTTCTCAGTATGTTTTGATTCGAAACTATAATCTGTTATCAGTAGTATTTAGTAGTAACAGTGAGCACTTCGTAATTCATTCCTTCTTAATTAATCCTAATTAAATAACAAACAAGTGACACCTTCAACTCAATTAGCCCTAATTAGTTTACACTACCGCATCCCTTTGATTCATGCCGGTCCGTGTGTAAACGTGTTGAAACAACCTCAGTTCAGAGGGATACTTGCCCATGAAAGGTAGGGGAATATCGAGTTTCTTTGCAAATATCGAGTTAAAAAGGTCATTTTGCTTGTTGGGACCATGCAATTATATCGAGATATCCGAAATATTGAGACATCCGTATCGAGTTAAAAGAGCTTGAATAATGATAAATTATGAAGGATTTGTCGGGACCGAGATGTTATATCGAGACAACCGAGATATCGAGTTATCAGAGTTGGACACATCGGTGCTCGACTGTATTATATCCAGGGAAAGAATGATCTCCACACAACTGCTTGTGTTCTTGTAACTTGAGATGTGATGTTAGATGAAGTCATGTTTTAAATAATCATCATTACTCAGTTTGGAGATCATTTAAAAGTAACATCTTAAGTGTGGAACAGCTGCTGACCTCCCTTGTATACCTAAGAAATGTCTCCTGAAGATTATCCAACTCCCTGAGTCAGAATATGGAAAGGCCCATAGTGTCAGGGCTCCAGATAATTATTTTGACTCAGGGGTATTTCACTCCTCAAAATTAAAATCGAGGAGTAAAATAGCAAATGGAAATAAAAGGATGAGTATTTCACAGGCTGCATGGTTTTATTACTTTCACAGAGACACATAATACTTAGCAGCTTTTCATAGCTTTTTTGGTCTGCACTGGCTTATAACCACATGCAACTATGGGAAATTTGACTTCCAACCAGAAATCGTTTTGTCACTGTAGTGACACTATTCCAATTGTGTTTATTCCTAATACTGATTTTAGCAACATTGTCAATTAAATTGTTGATAATATCAGACACTAACTTTTCCTTGCTAATTGAAAATGTTTTCCTTTCCAAAAACTTGACAAGTATCTTTTGGTTTGACATTCTTGCTGCAGACGACAGGAAATAAGTGAGAATGCTCATTGAGCTATTGCGTTTTAAATGTTTTCCTAGGCTGGTTTAGGGCCATCATGTAATCTACAGTATCCCCAATGCTGTATTATTACTAATACGGACAAGAAACGTTGTGATAGTAACACTGTTTAAGGGCTTTCTTAAACCCTCGGAATAACTCAACAATCCTCCCTTCAATACAGACAGCCAACACTATTAGAGATCTTAAAATCAGATGTGTAGAACTGAAATAATACTTTGACAGGTTTGGTTCATGCATGTAAGTAAACAAAATCTGACTTGTATTCCGAGAAAGTTGTGCGTATCTTTCACTCATTGATTTGACTTTTATGCATATATCTGAATTATCCATTCATATTTTACGCAAATATGCATCTTATCTGGAGCCCTGTAGGGTTGAAGTACCTTCCAGAACTGTGTCTAAATCTAGCACAAGGCTAAATATGGCACACTACTGCCCATCAATGACTATTCACACACACAGTGTTATATATTTGGAACATTGTTACACAATGAATGGCTGCTAGGGTTGGGTATTGCCAAAATTTTCGCATTTGCCATATATTGTGATATGTTTTGGGGTATTTGCAATATATATTGCAATATATTGTGAAAGTGTAACACATGGTTTAAGGTAATTAGATAACTGTTTCCTTTCTTTTCCAACAATGCTACTGGCCACTGGCAAGACTCAGATGTGATTGTCCAAGAGATCAATTGAAAATGTTTCCAAATTGAAGATTTCGCTCTGAAGTTTGGAACTCAAGAAATAGCGTCTGCAGCAGCGTCCATTTTGTCTTTTTAGCTCTACGACGAGATTTATATGGTTTAAATGTCACACAAATGCAATTATATGGCCAATTAATATTCTCAAAATTATTAATGTATTATAATATAAAAGAAAATCCAAATGTTATTAGTATTTGTTACTATATGACGAAAATTACTGATCATGGTCACGGAAATTGCCGCTCGTATCCAGTGAACTGGTTCGCGAAAAGTGTACCGCAGTATATCGTATTGTGAAGTTCGATTATCACCCGCTCATAATAGCTGCCATATAACAATATTAAAAAGTTTTACTCTGCCATTACTGTTTTGTAGTCATGGATACATTGCGATAACTACATAGGGAAAATTACTTCCATGTTTCTTCCATTTTGTTAGTCAATTTTGAAGGGAATTATGAGTGTGTAGGATGAACGATTCAAATAATAAAGAAACTTACCGGTACATGTTTTGTGTTTCATCTGTCATATGGGAACACACACAAAAATCGTGTAATACATATTGTTTGATAGAAATATTTCAGTACACCAATATAATGTTAATACTTTGCAACTGTTATGTATATAAATTGGCCAGATTCATATAGCCAAAATATTGCCAAAATGCAATGTTCGCAAAACAAGATATATAAATGGTTTAACCTAATATTTTGAACTGCAGTAACACATGACTCATTACTTTGGTTACTTGGGTTGTAGTTATTATACATGATTTCACTGTAAAAATGATTGATTACTGCCTAAATATTTTCCTATTTTCAAAGATAGCTTCTGTTTTATCTCACATTATGATTATTTGTTCTGTCCAACAGGTGGCGGTGTCACCCAATGTTATTGATATTGACTCGTCGAGTGGGGACTCTGGCGATGACATCTTTATAGTATATACTGATGAGGAGGACATTGTACAAGACTCCGAATCAGAGGTAAACGAACTTGTCTTTAGTCAGTAACATTATATTCGTAATGAAGTTCAAATGGATAAAAACTGAGTCGCTGTGAATTGAGTGGATTAGATGGCGGCTTTGTGTTTGCCATTAGGTGCCAGACTCTGAGAGGGTGGATTCCAATCCTGGATGACACTCAACATAATAAAAGTACACTCCCATAACCTTGATTCATGGATATAAGGGAACTGGCCGAAAATCATATTTTAAATGCTCGGTTTCGTTTTGTAGACCCACTGATTATTTTATTCATTGATTCATCAAATTGAAAATGCCTAATATTCTACTCGTAAATGAAACATTGTTTACTGAAGCCATTTGCGGATCATCACCCATTCATGTGCACACAAAATGTGACCTTGTTTCGTGGATTACATAGTCGGTTACTATATATCACTATGTATGACAGCCCATTGCAGTAGCTATGGACACATTTGTAAAAATATAATTTGGTATTAGTGGCATTAGTGATCTTGGACTATTCATCTCAGTGCTGGACAATTAAATTTAGTGTACTTATGTTTAATGCTGAGATTCGGAACATTTTTGTCAGCGAGGTGTGGCATTGCATGTACATCAAAAATACAAAAGTATCGCTCCGTGACATCATACGAGACTTAATTTACAAGATAGCATGATAATTACCGCGATCCACGAATCAAGGTTATCCACAAATTTAGGTTACAGGTCTGGGCCTAGATTTTTGAAGCTCCCTTAGCGCTAAGATAGTCGTAAGTTAATGTTAATGGCACTTATGACTATCTTAGCGTTAAGAGAGCTTCGAAAATCTAGGCACTGTACTACAATTGTTACTTTACTTAGAAAGTGTAATCCCAAATATGTCATGTTAAATTTGACCACTTTCTAAAATGTGTATACAAACATTAGTGATGTTAATAAGACCATTGAATTTTTGTACAACTCACAAGATGGACACCTATTGAGTTTCTGTGAATCATATATTCACAAAAAAAACATTAGTAATCATAAATGTTTTGGGGATATTTTTATGAAATTTTGTGCCCCGCCTCCAACTTTTTCATGATGCAGTGAGACCCCGGATACCCATCCTCGATAATCTCCAAGGTATACGTTACGATCACTCTCCACTATACCCTGGATGCATCCACGGCTCAATAATTATATTACCTCCCTTTGCTTGCTACGCATTCTCACAGTAGCGAAGCCGCCGTTACATCCGAGTTTGCCAGTGTCAACATAGATAGCGGTTGCAGTCGCGAAGGTTTGTTCGCAGTGCCACTCAGATTTTGGGGGAAATAATACAGACAAATTGACAGATCTGAAAAAATATATATAAAAGAACTCCTTCTACCTCTTTCAGAGTACCTGTGCATCAATTGTGATGCCAAGTTTAAACGGTTAGATAATTTAAGAAGTGAAAGTGAGTTGTGATTGGTTCGCTCAACTTCCCAGCATAGACACCTGATTAGATAAATAGCCAGCGAAGGGAGGTAATAAAATAATCTGGCCAAGCCGTGGATGCATCCAGGGTATAGTGGAGAGTGATCGTAAAAATGTATTAACATACTCATGCCTTCCTTGTCATCTCATTACAACTGTTTTCACGTACGCCAAAAGAGTAATGAAGTTGATGTGGAAAATTCAGCCCCACCATCACCACGACAACCAACAGCAATGGATCCTTCATTGCCTCAACTTGAGGCATCACCACAGGAACCAACAGCGATGGATCCATCATTACCACAACTCCAAGCATTGCCACAGCAACCAGCAGGAAGTGAACCAGGACTACCTCAGCTGCCCATGGAGTCATCACCGACACCTGGAGCTGCGGGGGAAGCAGGGACACCACACCCACCTGCTGGTGGAGGGGAGATAACTCTGGCTGATCCTCCATTACCACCACCAGATGTCCCCACAACGCCTGTTGTTCCAGCAAGTTCTGCCAGGACACAGTCATTACTAAATGCATCATTGGCAGAATTCCGATCACCTAAGCGTCGGAAAAGGAGCTCTCCAGAAAAATCGGCACCAGCGAATGTGGAATCAGATGATGATAGTGATGTGAGTAATTTGATATGCAGCTGATGTTTGTCCAGTTGATAATTGTAACCAGCAGTTAAATATGATAGGGAACTCCTGCTTGTTCTAACACAGGCAAATATAATGACATATTCATGCTAGATTAAAGTCTAGAAAATCTGTCAAATATCCAGACAGTTTTGATAAATTTGTAATACTGCAATACTGTAATACTTAGACAACATTTGTTCAATACATGCTGCTCATACTGTGAACCACTGGTTTGTCTGGTCCAAATTATACTCACGAAAATGCATCGAAATTTAAAGACAGGTTGAAGGGTGATGTAATACTGCATACTGCGATGTCAATACTTACTCAATACTGGGGCGGTGGGGTAACCTAGTGGTCAAAGTGTTTGCTCATCACGCCGAAGACCCGGGTTCGATTCTCCTCATGGGTACAATGTGTGAATCCCATTTCTGGTGTCCCCCGCCGTGATATTGCTGAAATATTGCTAAAAGTGGCGTAAAACTAAATTCACTCACTACTCAATACTATTCTTACTCCTTCATCAAGTAAATATACTCTGAAACTACAGAGACCCGTGAAGATCCGGGGTAGAATAGGTCTTCAGCAACCCATGCTTGCCCCAAAAGGCGACTATGCTTGTCTTAAGAGGCGACTAACGGGATCGGGTGGTCAGGCTCGCTGACTTGGTTGACACATGTCATCGGTTCCCAATTGCGCAGATCGATGCTCATGCTGTTGTTCACTGGATTGTCTGGTCCAGACTCGATTATTTACAGACCGCCGCCATATAGCTGGAATATTGCTGAGTGCGGCGTAAAACTAAACTCACTCGCTCACTCACTGAAACTACAGAAGTTGTCATCCATACATTTCCCTCTTTATCAAATGTCCTTGATGGGTATTTATTATCATGGTACAAATGATATTCAGTAGTTATGTGACTGTAAGCTTTGCATCACATCAGCACCATGATTCAGCAATGTCTTGCCAACACATGAGAATCAGCCATTGAGACACTTTTCCTTGCTTTCATTGAAATGCAACAAACAATCTCCACTCTTCCCTTCAGTGCTGTCCGATCTGCTTTGAGCCCTGGACAACGTCAGGGAGCCACAGACTGGCCTCTCTCCGATGTGGCCATCTCTTTGGTCAAAGGTTTGTAGTTCAAGTCTCATCAAGTTGTGATATTTCTGGAATATTGCTAAAAGCAGCGTAAAACTAAATGCACTCACTCACTCACTTTCATCAAAATGTACCTGGTTGTTGCTGTAGGGATGTGCTTGATTTCCTGTATTACTAAGCAACTTTGATTGTTTTATTGACAGTTGTATCGACAAGTGGCTGAAAGGTCAGGGTGGGAAATGTCCCCAGTGTAACGCCAAGGCAAAGAGACAGGACATCCGGGTCCTCTACACAAAGTCCATCAAGGTTACCGTTGTTACCCTGTTGAATTTTCCTTACAATTCACCTCAAGCATATTTCAAGTTACCATTCTACAGATCATTCTTGCATTATGACTGTCATAAGTAAATGTAAGAGTACAGACGTTATGGTCGTATTTATGGATTTGTGGACCGGTTGAGTACTGCAATCAGAGAAGCTCACTGATTATTGCGTCACTTCAGGCAGTGGATACTACAGAGAGAGATCGGGCACTTGCTGACCTGGAAAAGGAAAAAGAACATCGACGGAAGGCTGAGCTAGAAGCTGCTCATTCCCGTCTTCAGTATCAGCTCTGTATAGAGGAGTGTAATCGCTTCAGACAAGAGCTGAATACAACTCGCACACAGCTCCAGCAGTTAAGGTAAGCACACTCCTGTCATCAGTATCAGCTCTGTATAGAGGAGTGTCATTGCTTCAGACAAGAGCTGAATACAACTCGCACACAGCTCCAGCAGTTAAGGTAAGCACACTCCTGTCATCAGTATCAGCTCTGTATAGAGGAGTGTCATTGCTTCAGACAAGAGCTGAATACAACTCGCACACAGCTCCAGCAGTTAAGGTAAGCACACTCCTGTCATCAGTTAATAAGCACTCTGTATAGAGGAGCTCTGTCATTCATTAAGCTTCAGACAAGAGCTGAATACAACTCTCGCACACAGCTCCAGCAGTTAAGGTAAGCACACTCCTGTCATCAGTATCAGCTCTGTATAGAGGAGTGTCATTGCTTCAGACAAGAGCTGAATACAACTCGCACACAGCTCCAGCAGTTAAGGTAAGCACACTCCTGTCATCAGTATCAGCTCTGTATAGAGGAGTGTCATTGCTTCAGACAAGAGCTGAATACAACTCGCACACAGCTCCAGCAGTTAAGGTAAGCACACTCCTGTCATCAGTATCAGCTCTGTATAGAGGAGTGTCATTGCTTCAGACAAGAGCTGAATACAACTCGCACACAGCTCCAGCAGTTAAGGTAAGCACACTCCTGTCATCAGTATCAGCTCTGTATAGAGGGAGTGTCATTGCTTCAGACAAGAGCTGAATACAACTCGCACACACAGCTCCAGCAGTTAAGGTAAGCACACCCTGTCATCAGTATCAGCTCTGTATAGAGGAGTGTCATTGCTTCAGACAAGAGCTGAATACAACTCGCACACAGCTCCAGCAGTTAAGGTAAGCACACTCCTGTCATCAGTATCAGCTCTGTATAGAGGAGTGTCATTGCTTCAGACAAGAGCTGAATACAACTTCGCACACAGCTCCAGCAGTTAAGGTAAGCACACTCCTGTCATCAGTATCAGCTCTGTATAGAGGAGTGTCATTGCTTCAGACAAGAGCTGAATACAACTTCGCGCACACAGCTCCAGCAGTTAAGGTAAGCACACTCCTGTCATCAGTATCAACTCTGTATAGAGGAGTGTCATTGCTTCAGACAAGAGCTGAATACAACTCGCACACAGCTCCAGCAGTTAAGGTAAGCACACTCCTGTCATCAGTATCAACTCTGTATAGAGGAGTGTCATTGCTTCAGACAAGAGCTGAATACAACTCGCACACAGCTCCAGCAGTTAAGGTAAGCACACTCCTGTCATCAGTATCAGCTCTGTATAGAGGAGTGTAATTGCTTTCAGACAAGAGCTGAATACAACTCGCACACAGCTCCAGCAGTTAAGGTAAGCACACTCCTGTCATCAGTATCAGCTCTGTATAGAGGAGTGTCATTGCTTCAGACAAGAGCTGAATACAACTTCGCACACAGCTCCAGCAGTTAAGGTAAGCACACCCTGTCATCAGTATCAGCTCTGTATAGAGGAGTGTCATTGCTTCAGTGACAAGAGCTGAATACAACTCGCACACAGCTCCAGCAGTTAAGGTAAGCACACTCCTGTCATCAGTATCAACTCTGTATAGAGGAGTGTCATTGCTTCAGACAAGAGCTGAATACAACTCGCACACAGCTCCAGCAGTTAAGGTAAGCACACTCCTGTCATCAGTATCAGCTCTGTATAGAGGAGTGTCATTGCTTCAGACAAGAGCTGAATACAACTCGCACACAGCTCCAGCAGTTAAGGTAAGCACACTCCTGTCATCAGTATCAGCTCTGTATAGAGGAGTGTCATCGCTTCAGACAAGAGCTGAATACAACTTCGCATTGTACAGCTCCAGCAGTTAAGGTAAGCACACTCCTGTCATCAGTATCAGCTCTGTATAGAGGAGTGTCATTAAAGCTTCAGACAAGAGCTGAATACAACTCGCACACAGCTCCAGCAGTTAAGGTGTAAGCACACTCCCTGTCATCAGTATCAACTCTGTATAGAGGAGTGTCATTGCTTCAGACAAGAGCTGAATACAACTCGCACACAGCTCCAGCAGTTAAGGTAAGCACACTCCTGTCATCAGTATCAGCTCTGTATAGAGGAGTGTCATTGCTTCAGACAAGAGCTGAATACAACTCGCACACAGCTCCAGCAGTTAAGGTAAGCACACTCCTGTCATCAGTATCAGCTCTGTATAGAGGAGTGTCATTGCTTCAGACAAGAGCTGAATACAACTTCGCACACAGCTCCAGCAGTTAAGGTAAGCACACTCCTGTCATCAGTATCAGCTCTGTATAGAGGAGTGTAATTGCTTCAGACAAGAGCTGAATACAACTCCTCGCACAGCTCCAGCAGTTAAGGTAAGCACACACTCCTGTCATCAGTATCAGCTCTGTATAGAGGAGTGTCATTGCTTCAGACAAGAGCTGAATACAACTTTCACACACAGCTCCAGCAGTTAAGGTAAGCACACTCCTGTCATCAGTATCAGCTCTGTATAGAGGAGTGTCATTGCTTCAGACAAGAGCTGAATACAACTCACACAGCTCCAGCACACAGCTCCAGCAGTTAACAGGCTGAATACAACTTCGCACTTTAAGGTAAGCCTGTCATCAGTATCAACTCTGTATAGAGGAGTGTCATTGCTTCAGACAAGAGCTGAATACAACTCGCACACAGCTCCAGCAGTTAAGGTAAGCACACTCCTGTCATCAGTATCAGCTCTGTATAGAGGAGTGTCATTGCTTCAGACAAGAGCTGAATACAACTCGCACACAGCTCCAGCAGTTAAGGTAAGCACACCCTGTCATCAGTATCAGCTCTGTATAGAGGAGTGTAATTGCTTCAGACAAGAGCTGAATACAACTCGCACACAGCTCCAGCAGTTAAGGTAAGCACACTCCTGTCATCAGTATCAGCTCTGTATAGAGGAGTGTCATTGCTTCAGACAAGAGCTGAATACAACTCGCACACAGCTCCAGCAGTTAAGGTAAGCACACTCCTGTCATCAGTATCAGCTCTGTATAGAGGAGTGTCATTGCTTCAGACAAGAGCTGAATACAACTCTCGCACACAGCTCCAGCAGTTAAGGTAAGCACACTCCTGTCATCAGTATCAGCTCTGTATAGAGGAGTGTCATTGCTTCAGACAAGAGCTGAATACAACTCGCACACAGCTCCAGCAGTTAAGGTAAGCACACTCCTGTCATCAGTATCAGCTCTGTATAGAGAGGAGTGTCATTGCTTCAGACAAGAGCTGAATACAACTCGCACACAGCTCCAGCAGTTAAGGTAAGCACACTCCTGTCATCAGTATCAGCTCTGTATAGAGGAGTGTCATTGCTTCCAGACAAGAGCTGAATACAACTTCGCACACAGCTCCAGCAGTTAAGGTAAGCACACTCCTGTCATCAGTATCAGCTCTGTATAGAGGAGTGTCATTGCTTCAGACAAGAGCTGAATACAACTTCGCACACAGCTCCAGCAGTTAAGGTAAGCACACTGAATACAACTCCTGTCATCAGTATCAGCTCTGTATAGAGGTGAGTGTCATTGCTTCAGACAAGAGCTGAATACAACTCGCACACAGCTCCAGCAGTTAAGGTAAAGCACACTCCTGTCATCAGTATCAGCTCTGTATAGAGGAGTGTAATTGCTTCAGACAAGAGCTGAATACAACTCGCACAACAGCTCCAGCAGTTAAGGTAAGCACACTCCTGTCATCAGTATCAGCTCTGTATAGAGGAGTGTCATTGCTTCAGACAAGAGCTGAATACAACTCGCACACAGCTCCAGCAGTTAAGGTAAGCACACTCCTGTCATCAGTATCAGCTCTGTATAGAGGAGTGTCATTGCTTCAGACAAGAGCTGAATACAACTCGCTGTCACAGCTCCAGCAGTTAAGGTAAGCACACTCCTGTCATCAGTATCAGCTCTGTATAGAGGAGTGTCATTGCTTCCAGACAAGAGCTGAATACAACTCGCGCACACAGCTCCAGCAGTTAAGGTAAGCACACTCCTGTCATCAGTATCAGCTCTGTATAGAGGAGTGTCATTGCTTCAGACAAGAGCTGAATACAACTCGCACACAGCTCCAGCAGTTAAGGTAAGCACACTCCTGTCATCAGTATCAGCTCTGTATAGAGGAGTGTCATTGCTTCAGACAAGAGCTGAATACAACTCGCACACAGCTCCAGCAGTTAAGGTAAGCACACTCCTGTCATCAGTATCAGCTCTGTATAGAGGAGTGTCATTGCTTCAGACAAGAGCTGAATACAACTTCATTTACAGCTCCAGCAGTTAAGGTAAGCACACTCCTGTCATCAGTATCAGCTCTGTATAGAGGAGTGTCATTGCTTCAGACAAGAGCTGAATACAACTCGCACACAGCTCCAGCAGTTAAGGTAAGCACACTCCTGTCATCAGTATCAGCTCTGTATAGAGGAGTGTCATCGCTTCAGACAAGAGCTGAATACAACTCGCACAGCTCCAGCAGTTAAGGTAAGCACACTCCTGTCATCAGTATCAGCTCTGTATAGAGGAGTGTCATCGCTTCAGACAAGAGCTGAATACAACTCGCACACAGCTCCAGCAGTTAAGGTAAGCACACTCCTGTCATCAGTATCAGCTCTGTATAGAGGAGTGTCATTGCTTCAGACAAGAGCTGAATACAACTCGCACACAGCTCCAGCAGTTAAGGTAAGCACACTCCTGTCATCAGTAGCTCCAGCAGTTAAGGCTGAAGCACACTCCAGCAGAGCCAGTCACACTCATCGGTATCAGCTCTGTATAGAGGAGTGTCATTGCTTCAGACAAGAGCTGAATACAACTCGCACACAGCTCCAGCAGTTAAGGTAAGCACACTCCTGTCATCAGTATCAGCTCTGTATAGAGGAGTGTAATCGCTTCACGCATCAGCTCCAGCAATTGAGATAAGCTGCTTGAGTGTTTTCAGTGTGGCTGGCTATGTTGGAATATATATTGCACTGGCTGATGTTTTGGGATTGTTCTGGGTGGACCAGTTGACACACGATTTTAGGATTGATTAGTTACCAGATACAGAATATGTCACCGAGCTGATTGTGTATCACTTGTATCTATCAGTTTAGGCAGTGCTCATGATGTTCACCTCTGGTTGAATGGGTGCAGCCTGTTAGCTAAGAAAGAAGATTTCACTTGAACTGCAGTTTGCTAGTTCGCCACACTTAATTATTCTCATAAATATGTAAAAATCAGTCATTTGTTCTAACAGACTATGCTTAATTTTGAACTATGGTAAGTTATATACTGCTGAAAAGTATCTTAAACCTCTGCTTTATGTAACCATGATAAATATAGCATAAAATTTGGCATTTTGTTCTTGAACCCAGGTCTCAAATGAACAGTGGTCAGCATCTCTCGCAGAGTGTAACACCAGATGGCGCTACACAGTTGACCACCATCATGTCTGGGAAGAGGTTTGTCATGGACAGAACAGTGAAGATATGGGAGGTATGGCAAACATTGGTGATCTGTAGGTGTTGTAGGTTAGAATAGGTCCACAGCAACCTGTGCTGCTTGTACGTGGCTACTGAAGGATTGAGTAGTTGGGCTCCGTGTGGCCCTGTCATCAAAGGCATACCACATCAGCCTCCCATAGGTGAAATGATGGGATCTAACAGGATATATGCTATTCAAGGGTGTGTTAAACTCACTCACTCACTCACTCTGGCCAGTGGGTAGCCTCGTGGTTAAGGTTTTCGCTTGTCATGCCAATGACCTACATCAAGACTTAGATACCCACATGATTTCTGGTGTCCCCTACTGTGATAATGCTGGAACATAATACTAAACTCCTCACTCACTCACTCACACTCACTCACTCACTCACTCACTCACCCCCATCATATAGAGGGAAGCGGTGGGGTAGCCTAATGGTTAAAGCCTTCTCTCGTTACGCCGAAGACCCGGGTTCGAATCCCCACATGGGTACAATGTGTGAAGCCCATTTCTGGTGTCCCCCTGCTGTGATATTGCTGGAATATTGCTAAAAGCGTGTGTAAAACCATCCTGACTTTCTCGCTCACTCACAGCAGAGTGCTGTGTCAAACAAGCTTACAACAAAATTACAAATACCTGCACTGAAAGAATCTGTGACCAGGTACTCTGATTTGAGCTTGGCATGTACTCTATTGTAAACCGTTCACACGCAAACACAACACATGTTGTTGAATTTTAAAAGACTGTGATTGGTTGTTTCTGAACAACACGTAGTTTGACAACTATTGGTCACACGCCAATTTAGTTGAGTTTGACAACAACACGTCAAGCTTGAGTTTGACAACACCGAAAGTTTGATGGAAAGGATGGTGAGACTAGAGACCGATCCTATTTCTAGACAACAGTTTGACAACTCTGAAGTTGGTGTGAAGGCCACTTAAGAGTTGGCCTTGATGTTGTCCAAGGGTTTACCTTGGCCATACTTGACTCTAGGTCGTCATGATGTGGCTTACCGGTTTGTTTGCTGCAGCATTAAATAACATTCCCTCAATCGCCCACTTGATTCTACAGTTGAAAAATGTCCTGTTCTCCTTAAAACATATTACAGTGCTGTGAATAGTTTTCCAAAGTTTTACCCCAAATGTTTTGTTATGTGGCTTATTGTATTAATGCAGTCACGTTGTTGAATGCATCATCATGTGGCAAATGGCACTTGGCCTCTTATTAAATGCTTTGAAGAATGAGGCCATGTAATCATGGCAATCAGAGTTCCTGAAAAGCTGCGTTCTATACATCACCTTTCCCAAATAGAACGGTGACCAGTGACAATCCAGGTTAGAATTGATCTGCAGCAACCCATGCTTGACGTAAGATGTATCAAACGGGATGTGGTTGTCATGCTCGCTGATTTGGTTGACACATGTCATCGTATCACAACTGCATAGTATGATGCTCATGCTGTTGATCACTGGATTGTCTGGTCAAGACTTAATTATTTACAGATTGCCACCATATAGCTGGGATAGTGCAGCGTTAAACAATAAACAAACAAACCAAATGGTGTGGACTTGCTTGCCTGTAGATTTGCATTATAATTTTGAAAAACCTAATAGTATAACAATACTATTTAATTATGTGAAGTTTCATTTTCATATTGTGTTCCTAAATTTACCAATCTTTGTGCTGTACTATGGTTCCTCTATTCCAGGCTGGCCAGTGTCGAGTATTGGCATACAGCTCATCACTGGGTGCTCTCATTGTGTCACAGCCCTCCTCAAGCACACTCTTCCCTGGGTTTGGGATTAAAAAAGTGAGCTGCTTTATCAAATAAGCTGGTTTATATCAAATTTGGTTCAAGGTTTTAAGCTAATGGGAATCCGTGAAGATTTGGGTTAGATTTGGCATCATCGTGATCATGCAGGGAAAGATTGGTGTGTAAGTTGATTGAAAAAATTGAAACACTGGATATGTTGGAAAAGAGAAATCGAAGTTACGATTGGAGCCTGTCTGACGATATTGTAAGAATCTCATCATAAGACTGTTTACACACATACAAGGCTCTTACTTAACATGCTGGACTGAAAAATATTTTATTTGTGTTCAATTTGGTAACTTATGTTTTGTATTGACCACATTGATATCAAGAAGTTGACGTTTTCTTGCTTTAAATCAGAAGTTCTCTGAGACACTTCTATCTGAACTCAACTTTGGCCACTTTCATAATGGTGTAGATTTTCTTTTCATTTGGGTTATCTCCCCTTTGACACCAGACAGAATGTCTGCACCTTTATCTGAAGAAAGGGTATAAGTTACATGGGGTGTCTATGTTTAGAGGAGACTGAAGAAACAATCATATATTTATGTCTTGTATTCCCTGTGTATGTTTTTAGTTCTCTATTGCACTTTTTCCAGTTGAGTGCTATGGACTTCAAGACGTCCCAATACATGACTATCCACAGTAAGGCAATCCGGGATATCTGCTTCCATCCCACATTTGACAACGGGATTCTGCTGAGCTGCGGTCTGGACAAGACGGCCAAGATGACCAGCGTCATGAGCAACACTGTTGTACAAACGTATGTAGTACAAGAACTGACACTAGTACTAGAGTGGTTTTTTTTGCATCAGATGCGGCTTATAGGCTTATTTGTGGGAATTAAGCCTCCCAGACGAGACGCGATCGTCGATTGTGTTCAGCTTGGCTTCGGCCAGCACTCGGATTTCGTCGTGTTTTAAGGCCTTCCGTTGCAGACGACTCGAAACGAGTTTAAGAGTTATTCCCGCCAGTCCCGATACCCCGGCGGCTACTTCTAATCCGAGGACGACGGGTGCGGCCATGATGGTGGATAATAAGCCGATGCTAGCACCCCCGAGTCCGAGCCAGTGACCACGAGAGCCGTGTCAATCCCGTCGATGGCATTGACGACCCGATGGTACTTTTTGTGCAATCTGAGTCTCGTTCCAATTGGCGTTTGATTTTGCTGATCTGTCGCAAACGAAATCCATCCACGGTTTCGAGCGTTTGAGCCACGTTGTCCATGGCCGGATACAATCCCATCTTCCACTATATATATATATAGTTTACAAATAATATTTTGATTGGTCCTCCGTCAATCGTTTAAGAATATACTTTAAGCTGATGAGGTACACGTGTTCGTATGAAAAAGCATGGTAGAGTAAAATTTCATCTCCAATAAAAACCTCGACTCCCTCGAGGCTTGTGGTGGAAGCTGTTCCTAGTTGTACATAAATACGGCACCGTTGATTTTTATGGCGATCATGCCAGCGTATGATTACCCCAACCAGAAGTCCCACCCGTTGTCCGGAGGTATTTCTAAGAACGACGTCGATAATAAGGGTAAAACCTGGTATCACAGTGATTCAGTCTGTACGAGTCTGGGACTTCACTATAGCGTTTTAAATAGAGCCATTTCGCTGTGTCTTCTGAGTGAGGGACTAGCATATAACCCGTTTGATCTGGTAATGGTGATGCGTACATTCCCTTTTTATGAAACGGAATATAACTTCCCAGTAGAATCCCATTGTTTTTTAGTTCGAGGTTATTACGATTCCGATCCATGACGAGATAGGGGTAGGTCAGGACGATATTGATGATCTAGTTCAATTCGACGATGACTTCTCGACATTTTGTAAGTGCAGGACGTACAAGGCGTTTCCGTACCGGGTTCGTCGAATCCTCGCGAGTCCTTGAGATCAGAGAACGCGATGGTGGCTTGCGGAGTCACGTTTGTCATGGTTTATATTAGAGAAGAAATTTTAATTGGTTTTGGATAATTTTTCGGCAGTGCATTTCAAACCCATAAGATGTATGTTATCGTGTAGGAACATTTTCGTGCGCTAATATCGTGTCTTCCACGGTGATGTTGACTCCCTGCTGACTGGTGAAGGCCTCCACGCCCACCCGTGCAACGTAAACGGAGCAAAACGTGGTATTGGTGTTGTTGGGTCCACTGGAGTTTGATGCCTTTGACGATTTTGACGTTACCAACCCTTGGTTTGCCGAGGTAGACTTGGATGATCAGATTTTGCAGGATGTTGGCCATGCTGTCAATTCCGACACTAACTGCAACGTCGCGTTTGACGTCCCGGTTTACTCGATAGGATGTGAGCTATGGGTTCGCGACAGCGTGCTCAGGACAACGCTTCATCTTTGCGTCGGGACGTAAGCCACGATCAGCGTTCCGTTGTTCACGACTTTCGTGAGGTGGTGGTCTTTGTTTTCCGTGAACAGGTGGGGAGAGTCTAGCGCGATGTTGAGATTCCAGTCGATTCTAGAGGGTACGAACACCCATTGGTTGTCGTTGGTAAAGACAGGCGTGTTTCGAGCAAGGATCGTCTTCTCAACGTCCTATAGGTCGAAGAGTTTACCGCCGAAGGCTTGAACCATCACCCATGTGTTATTGGTGTTGCGAACGAGATTGTACTGCGTGTTTTTTAAGAGACCTCTGGTCTCGACATCGTCTAAATCTCCTAGGTTACCACCAGATCTGCCGCTCACTTCGACGCTTATGTCAATGTTGTTTTTTAGTTGCAAGGCGTAGTCTGCCGTCGATGCCGGGCTCTTCGAAACCGCGCATGTCCCCGAGGTCGGAGATTGCTAGGTTGGCGCATTTTCTCGGTCGCATTCCCTGACCCGAAGCTTCAGTCATCGTTGTATGACGTCGCTGATATTCGACCATCGCGGGTAGTAGGTGAGATCGCAGAGCGCGACTTCGAGTTCCCCTGACGTGTTATCGATCGCTTGCAGTAGCGGAACGGGTTCGCCGTTCGTTATTCCCGGGAGCGTAACGTACATATTGAAAAAATATATGTACGTAATTATAATAATTCAATATTGCTACACCCAAGTACCAGCCTGGAGTGATTTATCCTAAAAGCGATAATTTAAGTGCTACCGATCTCACGCACATGAAAATTGTGGTGGATGCGAAGGAGTGTTCCCACTTTCGAGCTCGATTTATCGATTTATTTGAAAAGTATAGGCTTTCGGTCACGAACGTCAAGGCAGTCCACGCATGGTTTCACATCCCGATGCAGTTCTGGCAGAATCAATTCAATTTTGCCATGTGGTGCGCGACGACAGGGTGCGGCGTGACCTTGAATGACACGTGTCGTGATGGCTTGTTTTTTAAGCCAAGGTTTGGGGTATCCTCGGAGAGGCGAGCGGCTTTGGCTTGCTTCGGGATGGCACTCCGTGTCGGTCCATGTTCCATTTCCACGTGTATTACCAGATCAGACGCATCCTGAAAGAGATCAGCACCCCGATGCCGTAGGACAAGGCATAGGATGCGTCGAACAATCCATACGAACGGCGAGCTTACGAACGGATTTGTGGTGATTTCGAAATCGATCCGAACATGGATTGGCGTATACCGGGTACGAACCACGGTTGGACATTCCGTACAGTGGAGCGAAATCCGTGAAAGAAGTCAGTGATGGTTTACTGAAAAGTGGTTGGCTCCGACAGGACTTTGCTCTGCCGAGTAATGAATGGTGAGATGATCGTATGAAGTTAAAAGGCGGTGTTGCTTTCACCCTTCAAAAGGTGGAGCAGTCTCAATACGCTGAAGTATATATATTGGAAAGTATATATGTTGGGGGATACGTCGAAGGGGTTTACTCGTCCCGGTGTTGTCAGACTGAGCAATTCGATTTGAATCACAGTCGCGTGGTTGGACGATGAGATCGATATCATGAGCATCACGCCGGATTCGAACAAAGGTTACATCCTCGAAGTGGACTTGGACTATCCCACGGCATTGCACGCTGCTCACAACAGCTATCCGCTGGCTCCCGAACGGTTGACGGTGAACCGAGACTGGATGTTGCTCGGGAAAAATAAGCTGGCCAACGTGGAGAAAACTCGTTCCGAACTTGATGCGCAAGACCAAGTACGTAGTGCACTATCGGAATCTGCAACTGTACTTGTCGGTGGGCATGAAGCTGACCAAAATACGTCGGGTGCTGCAATCCTCTACAAACTGATGAACAACTTGGTGTTCGGCAAAACCATGGAAAATTTGAGAAAACGGGTGACGGTCAAACTCGTGCAATCTCACGAGGAAGACAAACTCAGGAAACTCGTAGCCAGCCCGGCCTTCAACCGGAGCAAGCTATTCGATAACGACTTGGCAGCGCTCCACATGAACAAAGTCACATTAAGCTCAACCGGCCTGTTTACGTGGGAATAAGCATCCTCGACTTATCCAAACATCTCATGTACGATTTCTACTACAACCAATTCAAGAAGCCATTCCTTGTTGTTGAATATACGCACCGAGGACCTGTACGAGGACATGGCGAAACACAGCCACTTGTACAATACCAGCGATTACCCGAAAGACTACGCCCTACACAGCACGACCAATAAAAAGGTCCTCGGCAAGATGAAGGACGAATGCTCGGGCACACCCATCTCCGAATACATCGGATTGAGACCAAAGATGTATTCCATCCTGAAAGCCGATAACGGTGAGATCCGAAAGGCGAAAGGGGTGAAAAAATACGTGGTGAAACTACACATCAAACACACCTTCTCCAAACAAGCTCTCTCCGATAAACGCACGTTTAAACACCCCATATACGCGTTGAGAGGCAAACACAACATCTACAGCATCACTCTCAACAAAACATCGCTGTCGCACCTGGATACCAAACGATGGATTGCGAACGATGGCATCCACGCTTATAGCTATGGGTACCAACAGGTGACCTCGACGTGTTGGGAGTTTCCGAGACCCCCAATAAAGGAAACTCCACTCGATGCGTCGAGACAATTGTATGAACGATAGCGTGTATACATCATGGAGAAGGTTTACTACAGCCCTCGGTGTTACTGGAAAGGTGTGAGCGCCACCCGAAGCTAGCCAAAGCTGCTCGCGTCTCCGAGGATACCGCCAAAGCTTGGCTTAAAAAACAAGCCATCTGGCAAGTGTACCTGCCAGCTCCCCCGATACATCCCGAGAAGAAAGTTTGACATTTCCATACCCAACTGTACCCATCAAGCCGACCTCCTGTTTCTCCCGCACGACAGGGTGAGAAACAAAACTTACAAGTACGCCCTGACCGTCGTGGACGTTGCCAGTCGCTACAAGGAAGCGGAGCCGTTAACGACCACCGATTCGAGTCAAGTCGCTAACGCATCTACAAACACAGTCGCTTGACCTGGCCTGCCGTATTGCAAGTCGATCCCTGACGCAAGTTCATGGGAGCAGTGTCGCAGCTGTTATCGAAGCATAAAGTCCAGGTGAGGCGAGGCGTGGTCGGAGCTCACCAAAGCCAAGCCATCGTGAAAGATTCAACAGGACTTTAGCCGAGCATTTGTTCGGACATCAGTAAGCCCGAGAGATGGTCAACCCAGAAAAATGATCAACGGAATGGGTCGTACGCTTACCGCGAGTGGTGTCTGCATCAACAACAAAGTCACTCAACTCCTCAATAAAAGACCCGTCGAAGCCATTCGAATGAAATCTGTGACAATCGAATCGGCTGCGCCATAGTGTCACGGCCAAGAGAAAAAACTACCGGTCTGGATCGTCGTGAGGTATCTGTACCAGCACGGTGAACTCGAAGGACGGTACAAACGTCGTGCCACAGACCCCGTATGGTCCATGAAAACGTACCAAAAAAACGAGTGGACATCAAAGACGACGAACCGAATCTGTATTACTTGCAAGACGGACTGGGCAGGGGATTCATCCAAGAGGAATTACAAATTGTCCCTCACGACATGGTATTACCCCCTTAAAAATAAAAATATTTGCTGTCTGGGATTTGAACGCTAAAACTCTAGGTCCGAAGTCCGGCACGTTCCCTTCACGCCAGCAGTCACACTCTCACAGTGGAGGTGCATTCAAGCTATATATAGCTCATACGCTTTGCGAGCTTATGTAATCCGATTCTAAATTAGCCGATTGCGGCTTCTAAACGTGTTTTCAGCGTCCATCAACGCATGCATCGTGATCGGCGTGGTCTAAGAGGATCGTGATTGTATTTTATTACACCTTGATTCGAGGTGGAAAGCCACCAAACGTGCACGAGGCGAGCAAGACTGGTTCTGCACTACTGTAGCTAGTATAATCGGAGCCCAGCTCAAGATAAATAATGGATTTTTTTCAGCGTTCGTCGACTAATGTATCGTATTCAGCGTTCTTCAAACTACCTGCGGGCATCGTGTTTGTATTTTATGAGACATGGATTCGAGGTGAAAAAGACACCAAACGTGCACAAAGTATTGAAGCGGAAGTGGAATGACGGGTTTCAGACATCCTTTGCGCTACTACAGACGGAGCAGAGATGTGACCGAGGTTCGAAGCCTACCGTTCGAAAAAAAAACCACGGAGCTCTCAGGGAGAGCGCAGTCGACCACAACCCCATGGGAGAAATACCAGCACACCAAACATCATCAGACCAGGGACCAGGCGGGTCTCTGGTCAAAACACCAATTTCTCCCTCCGTGGGTTGTGGCCACAGAGGGCTTTTGTTATTTTTATATTTGAACTGGCACATTGAAGGATGGTTCTCGCTATGTTTTTAAGGGGGGCTGGGAGGCTTTATTCCCACAAATAAGCCTCTAAGCCGCATCTGATGCAAAAAACCCACTCTAGTACTACTGCTGACTGTGGTGGTAATACCTCCAAACATTCCTCTTGAAGATCATTGACCCTATCCACAAAATGTTATTTGCACTATGTCATCTGAAGCCTATGATAAATATTAGAGTTACGATAGGTCATAACGTTACGAGCGCTTTGTGGATCGGCCCCCGGGATCAGAGCTAGTCTTCAGCAACAATGCTTGTCTTAAGAGGCGTCTTTGGGATTGGGTGGTCTGTCTGGCTGACTTGCTTGAGGCTAGCTTTGTATCCAAGAGCAATGCTCATGATATCACTAGATTGTCAGATTCTGAGATCCCTTATCCATGAACTGTCATCGTGTAGCTGGAATATTGTTGACACGCTCACACTTGCATCACTCTCACACATCTCACACCCTGACACATCAAACTCTGTCCACCTGACAACTACATCTGTGTCCACAGATACCAGACCCCTGTACCAGTGTGGAGCTGCGTGTGGAACAATGACGACCCCAACTACTTCTACACAGGCCTGATGAACGGCTCTGTGCTGGAGTACGACATCCGCAACACGCAAACCCATGTGCAGCAACTGAACACTGGGGGCAGCAAGTCTCCCGTCGTGGCCATGCAGTACATACCTAGGGACCACACTGCAATATTCAGGTAAACAGTCTGTGTATATTGGACTCCTGGCCAACAAGCCATTTAGGGATTGCATACCAATATATCCTGGACAAAAATAGTTAGGGATATATGCACATTTTGAAATTATGAATAATGATCTATTCATTCATTGACACACTGATGACATATCAATCATTAAAATACCAATATCCCTAACTTATTTTGTCCAGTATAGATCTCTTGAAGCCATGCTTATTGTAAAGGTATAGTAAACTGAGTAGTGGGCTTGTTTATGTCGTGACATATTGTTTGCGATTGTTGTCTTCCAATGATTGGTATTCATTCTATTGGTCACTAGTAATGATAGTTGATTTTCTGTAGTTATGATAATGTGTGTATGTAACTGTAATCTTTCAATGGAGCTGCTGTCAAATGAATTGGTGTTCATGGTATTGACCACTGGTAATGATTGTTGATCTTCTGTATTGTGGTGGTAATGTATACATGTGATTGAAGTCTTCCAATGGCTGTCAAGTGATTGGTGCTCATGCTATTAAACACTGGTAATGATTGTTGATCTTCTGTACTGTGGTGGTAATGTATACATGTGATTGTAGTCTTCCAATGGCTGTCAAGTGATTGGTGCTCATGCTATTGACCACTGGTAATGATAGTTGATCTTCTGTACTGTGGTGGTAATGTATACATGTGATTGTAGTCTTCCAATGGCTGTCAAGTGATTGGTACTCATGCTATTGACCACTGGTAATGATAGTTGATCTTCTGGTAATGTATACATGTGATTGTAGTCTTCCAATGGCTGTCAGTGTCTTCCAATTGGTGCTCATGCTATTAACCATTAGTTATGATAGTTGATTTTTTGTATGATGATGATAATGTATGTTAGGCTATTAGAATTACAATGAGTGTCAAGTGATTGATGTTAATCTTATTGACCACTGGTTTCTCTTGACCAGGTGCAGTTATATGCTTGTAAAATTATGATGATACAGGCTCTTGAAATTATGGTTGACAGTTTTTATGGTCCGAAGATAAGCATCATTTCCAGCGCATATGTTTTTCAGAATTACAAGTTTCAATGTATTGGATACATCAGAATATGATTTGGAACTGATGTTGTTTCAAATGTTTCAGCTCATCAACTACCTAATAATACCCGCAAGGATACTAGTGTCTCCGAAAGCAATAAAAAGACATGGAATTTAATGATTGATATTCCCTTCTTAACTGGTACTGAGTACAAATAATTTTCCTTCTCTCAGGCTAAGTTCTAGATATTATTGCATTATGTGCCTTAAATACGCTTACGACCTGTGAAGATTGAGGTTAGAAATGGTCTTCAGTAACCCATGCTTGTCATAAGAGGCGACTAACAGGATCGGGTGGTCAGGCTCGCTGACTTGATTGACACATGTCATCATATCCCAGTTGCGTAGAATGGTGTTCATGCTATTGATCACTGGATTGTCTGATCCAGATTCAATTATTTACAGACCACTGCCAAATAGCTGGAATATTGCTGAGTGTAAATAATTACACTTACAGTTACAGTGTCTTATGGTGGTCAGAGTTTTGCGACCTGCATAATGTTGCATCAAATAGTTCCACTAATATATATATAATAGATGCTGTATGAATGTGCGAGTTCATGTGGGATGCAAAATGGCAGATCTGTCTGAATAATGAGATTCATCATAAGAGAGAATCCAGGACTGAATAAAGATAGCTCCAGTGCGTGATGGTTTGTGGTTTAACTGTAGACTTGATTGTTTCCAGACCAGGAGGTCTGGTCGTGGGACAGCTGGACAGAACAAGTTTCTTTGAGAACAAGGGAACAGAACAGCCCAGGTTAAACTTCCTGCCGCTGGAAGGTGGGTGCAGTTTACTGGTTTATCATGTCATCACTTAGAACAGCTGATCATTTAGAACAGCTGCATCATTGCAGATCTAGTGTGATTACCCTTGAAGATCAGGGTTAGAATTGGTCTTCAGTAACCCATGCTTGTCGTAAGAGGCGACTAACTGGATTGGTGCTCATGCTGTTGATCACTGGATTGTCTGGTCCAGACTCGATTATTTACAGACCGCCACAATATGGCTGGAATATTGCTGAGTGCGGAGTACAACTAAACTAACACACTCGCTCAGATACAGTGTGGAGCAATAATCACTCACTCATCACAGATTTTTAATGTTTATTGGAAAGTTGAAGTTATGTCAGTGTTCCATTGGTTGATATTAAAGCAACTATTGATTTGTGCTGAAGATTTTATAAAGTGACTAATTTATAAGATGACTGATTGGTTATAGTCATAGCATGGATGTCAGAATAGCAAGAGTTGTCTCCCCTTTTGACCATAGGAGAAGTTAAAATTGTAGGAGTTGTTTCCCCTTTGACCAGTGTCTGGGAAAATGGAGCATTACAGCACATCAGGCACGTTGTTGTGTGAATTTCAGAAGCATTATTTTTTGTGAACATGATGAATGAGAAAAAACACACAAAAATCAAAAGTGCATATATCGTTATTCATTCTTGGTGTTTTTAAATGATCTATTGCAATAGACACATGGGAGAGAAAAAATAGGTTGCGTTTAGCGAGATTTATCTATTGGCATTTCATGTTTTTCTTCAATTTCTTTATTGAAATGTCATGGGTAATACTCATAACTGTGAACTTTTTTGTCCTTTGCAAAGGGATGCCCTATTCACCAAAGGCTTGGGAGTAAGATTCTTCTGCTCTGGACAATGATCTCACATTCCCCATCTAATATACAGAGTGCATTTGACATACAAATTTGTACCCATTGTACCCATGTGGGGAATCGAACCCTAGTCTTCAGCGTGATGAGTGAACGCTTTAACCACTGTCCCTTAAGCAATGTGAAACTCTTAAGGTCAACATGCAGGGATGCGAATTTTCCGCGGATCCACGGAATTCTGGGAATTTCATAAGGCCAAGGGTCATTTTGTGAATCGTCTAAATCTGATAGATGCTAATCCCCCCGGCTAGTTTTCAGAGTTTTTCTCAAAACTTCAATCTCATCCCTGAACATGTCAACTACCCTTCACACCAACAGTTCAGTTACATACCTTTTACTGATATGCTGTGACATTATTTTCTCTTTTCAGGAAGTTTAACAAGCTTAAGCTTTGATAACCACACCCGCCATCTGCTAGCCAGTTTCCGACCTACAGCTAAACACGCTATGGTCAGGCACCAGGTATGTAGTGACACAGTGTAACTTGATACATGTACTATCACGTTTGAGCAATGTATAAGTAAGGTAAGTTTTACTCTGCTTCTAGCAATGCTCCAGCAATATCACGGCAGGGGACACCAGAAATAGGCTTCACACATTGTACCCATGCAACCCATACGATTTTATCCTATTCATTACGAAAAAACAACACAGAATATGTGACTATGATAGCAGTAAAAATTATGAATTTTTAAAAATAATACATTAAATTATCAAATAGCATACGTACCATGCACAGTAAATTTCAACCACATTTTATTCAGTATCAAGCTATATGTGGATACTTGCTACTGATTTAGGTGAGTACAATGTTAATAACAAGGTCTTAGACTATATATTTACGTTTTTTATTCAATATGAAAATTCTTTGTTAAAGTTAATACTACTTTTAGCCAAAAAAATACTAATTTTCACATCTGTTTTTGGCCAAAATACTAATTGGGCTGGCATCTCTGCCCATTTAGAGAATCGAACCTGAGTCTTCAGCATGACGAGCGAACGCTTTAACCACTAGGCAAAGTGGTACACTTTAGGTTGATACATGTACTTATCAAGTTTGATAAAGAAAATGTTTGACTTCCTCAGGAGATATTGCTTGGGTGAGATATCTCTTGCAGATAATGCTACATTGAAATGGCATCACAGACCTTGCCGGCCACTGTCATGTCATGGGTTACCATTGTGTCATGACATCACTTAAAGCTGAAAACTCCCTTGTTGGATTTAAAGTGTTAAACTTTCATGGACTAAAAATTTAGAAGCCTTGACACTTAGTGACTGATCATATATAGTTCTCCTGACAGGAGTTGTCTTCCGAGAATCATATTGGGACAGATAAATCATGATTATAGTGCAAGTGTCACCTATTGGTCAGCAATAGAACCTGCCATAGCCAACCTGTAAATAATTTGGGGCAAATTGGCCTTCAGCAACCCATGCTTTCATGGTTATAAATGGGATCATGTGGTCAGGCTCATTGAGGGGCGGTGGGGTGCCCCAGTGGATAAAGTGTTTCTCATCACACCAAAGACCCAGTTTCAATTCCCCACATGGGTACAATAGGTGAAACCCATATCTGGTGTCCCCCTGCCTGGAATATTGCTAAAAGTGGCATAAATCTATACTCACTCACTTACTCAGGCTCACTGACCATCCCACATTGTGTAGATGATTGTGCTCATGATGTCAATCATTGGATAGTCAGTAGAGGTGTGACGATACGATACGTATCACATTATCTTGGAACGATACGATTCGATTCAATGCATATCACGATATGCTATCTTTAGTTATTTTCTCATATAAATGTATATTTTGATCGCAAGTAACAGTGTAAATTTTTACATAACCGTCAATTTCTAGTGAACATTAACAATTTTAAGGTCAACGATACATATCACGATACGAACAAAAGTATCGATATATTTATCGTCAGATACTGTATCACGATTATCGATACTACGATGTATCGTCACAGTTCTAATAGTCAGGTATTTTGTCTGGCTGTCGTTCTGTACCCTAACAAATCAGGTCATTCTCTTTCTCCATTTCTCCCCCAGCTGTGTGAGATGTCGTGCAGCAACCTCAGCACAGATCCTGCCGTGACAGACAACCTGTGCTCGTGTGACGTTGTGCACACCTTCCAGGGAGGCAGGACACAATCTGTATTATCCAGGTCTGCACTCATCCCAAACCCCAGTGATCCCAACAAACTGCTGGTTTGTGCTGGAGATGAGACTTCAAATGCTGTGAGTTGGTTATGATGAATATTATGAATAATGTCGGTATTAATGCATGTATCTGATCTGTGCTCATGACTTTGTGCTGTGCTGGGCTATGAGTTGCCGTGGGTCTAGGTATGAGAGTTGAAATTGCAAGAGTTATCTCCCCTTTGACCAGAGTCCACCAAAATGGAGGGTTAACATAGCACATCAGTCTCATCATTCAGTCTAAGTAAACTTAGGCTCAGTATTATTCGTTACACTGCTATACTGAGTCTAACAAACCCTAGTAGAAGGTTGCGTCAGCTAACCTTTGAGCAACCTATGACCGTCCAGTCAAATGCAAGACGGCCGAGCGGATTCAATCTGACAACGGCTACTCTTTAGGGTTCGGCGGACATACAAACTTCCCCGGTCACTGACACTGATCTCTCTACGAACGAAAACCCGGATAAAACTCAGATATTTGACCTGCAGTATACAGTAAAATACCTTTATAACGAACTCCAAGGGACCACTGAAATTAGTTCGTTATATCCGTAGTTCGCTATTCACGAAATTCCACTGAAAGAACAATAAAGACATACTGTACAGTACGATACATTCCTACTCACTTTATTCATTCATTCATACGACAGTTACATTCGTTTCACTACAAAGTCTGTGATCTTACTTTGTCCACGCTTGACCGACAGTTACATTCGTTTCACTACAAAGTCTGTGATCTTACTTTGTCCACGCTTGACCGACAGTTACATTCGTTTCACTACAAAGTCATCTTACTTTGTCCACGCTTGACCGACAGTTACATTCGTTTCACTACAAAGTCTGTGATCTTACTTTGTCCACGCTTGACCGACAGTTACATTCGTTTCACTACAAAGTCTGTGATCTTACTTTGTCCACGCTTGACCGACTGCATACGTGCTACAGCCTCATTCAAATCGGCAAGTGAATCAAATGAAGACATATCAGTTGTCTTCTGCAAAACTAGAAAGTTCTTCAATGTTTGAAGCGCCATATTGGCATCAGCAAACGAAGGAGGGGCCTGGTCTGTTTCATCACTGTTCATGCCATGTCATGTTTTCGAGGTAACCCGCAGCTGAGAAGTTAACCAATCACTGCGAGGTCAGGACTGATGAACTTTAACCGGCATTTAGCTGATACCTGTCTGGGATTGCAAGTGTTGCATCTTATAGGTCAGATTTCAAAGTGAGCACCACTAATTGACACTGCTTGAGTTTGCTTAGTTCGTTATTCTCACCCTTAATAAGCGTTAACTGGGACTCCCGGGGATTGCAAATCAGTTCGCTATAGCCATTAAGTTCGTTATAGAGAATTTGTTATTCAAGACATTTTTATATGATAATATACAGAGGTTTATTCGGGACATCTAAAACAGTTCGCTGTAGCCGTCAGTTCGTTATATCCGTGTTCGTTATAAAAGTATTCTACTGTATAGGCTTAAGGCTTTCTGATGACATGGTTACCATTAGCTAATATGTCATCCTTGAATATTGACAAATACAGTATTTTCAGCGACTGTTTACTTGTGGCATGCTTCATGCACATCACTCTGGAGCTATCGTATGAAAAATAGCATTCGGAATCGTTCGGGTACAAACTTTTTTGAGGTAAAAGTTCAAAAGGTATGTGCGAATGTCAACTCCCGTGATTTGGTTAGCTGTGTTCTGATTGGTCAATCAAAAAGGTTAGATATCATGACCTACTAGGTTTGTTAGACTCAGTATAAGCAGTGTAACGAATAATACTGAGGAAGGATAACAATTTATGGATGAACAACTTCTTTATTGCTGTGAGAGCGACGTTTCGGTGTAGGTTCTAACACTGTTATCAAGCAAGTGAGTGAGTGAGTTAAAATTTTACTTCGCGTCGGCAATATTACAGCCATTGTTATCCTTCCTTACTGCTCCAACTTCTAAATGCCTCTCAAAGAATAATAATACTGAGCCTAAGTTTATTTAGACTGTCTCATCATTGGGAGAATTTTTAACTTTAAAGAATTCCATATTTTGAGTAAATGTGAAGAAGGAGAAGAACCATGAAGATCAAAAGAAATAATAATAAAAAGTAATAAGTTATATAAGAATCTGATTTGTGCCAAACATTTTGTAAAGTGACTAATTCATGAGATGGTTGTTGGGTCATAAATAGTTGGAATAGCAAGAGTTGTCTCCCCTTTGACCATGGGATAATGAAATAATGGTTTACATGGCACATCAGGCACATGATTGTGTGAATTTCAGAAAAAAGTATTTTGTGTGAACACGAAGAATTTAGAAAAATCACATATAAACAAAATTGATGCTATCTTTATTTATTCTTTGTATTTTCAAATGCTGTGTTGCAATGTTTAGATATATAGTTGCCCTAAAGTGCCTAGCAATGGGTCATCCTCAGATCTTTTTAAACTTTGTTGAGAACTAACTTCTTATTGAATATTTTTGCTTGTGAAGCAAGATGTAATGGTGGTTGTTTCAGATACATGTATGGGACTGTAGTACTGGACAGCAATGTCAGAGGATTGCCACGGGTGCCTTTGTGGTGGACCTAGCAACGTTCGCCGTCAACAGTCAACACTTCCTGGTGGCACTGACTGAAAAGATGCTCAAAGTTCACAAGTGGTGCTAGCTAAAAGTGTCGTGACTCGAAGCGACTCAGATTGTTGCCAAGTGCAAACTGGGCATTTTAAAGTTGTCAAGCCGTTGATACAAATGTATATGAATGATAGACACAAATGTACCTGTGACTGCTTCACATCGTCAGCTGAGTTGCTGTGCATCTGTACTGTCAAGAATTGCTATTTGACACTACTGGTTCACAGCTAGATTGCTTGCCTCAACACAAAACTCTTTTAACCAAAAAAAAACGGAATTAAAAAGATGTTTTTAAACAGCATGTGTTCAAACTGCATCTTCAACATTTTAACATTATTTTTAAAAAGTAGAAAATTAAGTATTTGGTCATTAGAGAAACCAGAAATATAAAATTGGTATGGACGTTTTAAAGAAAAAAACTGAATAAAAGCTAAAAAGTTCAGTGAATGATGGGGCTAGTACCTGGCTGAATGTGTGTGTGTCTAGAGACAGTTGTTTACTGGGTGGGATGTAAAAATGTTACTGTGTCCTTTTCTCTTCTCAACTTCTTTATATCTGTTAGAATTAGCCAGTACAGGATGTTTTATTTGTGACTGTAAAGCATTCACCACAAAACCCCTTACGCTCATACACCAGCCACAATGATACTGTTACACTAGGCTGTGGTAGGGAAGCCTTGTGGTTAAAGCGTTCGCTCCTCACGCTGAAGACCCAGGTTCGATTGCCCACATGGGTACAATGTGTGAAACCCATTTGTGGTGTCCACTGCCGTGATATTGCTGGAATATTGCTAAAAGCGATGTAAAACTAAACTCACTCACTCACAAACCATCTGAAATTACTCTCGCACACCACCCACAATCACATTCATAAATGAAATATTCTCTAACAATAACACAAACCAACACTTGTAACAGTTGCCAAAAGGTTCTTAACATTACAACGCTTCTGAAATCGGGTATATATTCCAAATGGCAGTGGCAGTGGGGGAGCCTGGTGGATAAAGCGTTCACCATGCCGAAAACCCAGGTTTGATACAATGTGTGAACCCATTTCTGGTGCCCCCGCCGACATATTGCTGGAATATTCTACAAGCTCACTCACTCACTAAAACAGCAGTAATCAAAACTTTATTATTTTAAAAATAATCCAAACAATATGTACCTATTTCAAGTCACACCGGGAGATGCCTTGGTCTGTTATTACTTTTATCACTAACAAATACCAAATGTGAATGGTAATATTTAAACAGTTTGTGGCTAAACAATTCTTTTCTTTTCTTTTAAAAACAAACAAACAAACATTAGTTTTTGGCAAATATGCCTGATTATGAGGTATGTGTTATGATATGGTGGTCTGTTTTGGATATTTCCAGACATTGTCATTTTCTACACCATCAGCTTGTCTGATATTGAACAAAAAGCATGATTTTATTAACTAGTGTATCTGTCTGAGCATGAACGTGTGTTAGTTGTTGCAGGTGAGTGCATCTTGCCTTTTAGGATCAGAGTGATCTTAGGTCTACAGCAATCTTAAATCTGAGATTATATTTCTCATGCGAAGATTGTTTCATGCATGTGGGCCCTGGTAACTTGTTTTAGTTTTGCAGATAGTCTATCAATATTGTCCGGGAACAATCATATCTTGATAGGAAATGGAAATTATCATTTACCTAAACTGACCAAGGTACGAGTCAAAATGATCAGTTTGGGTTGAGGGGCTTAAGAGTTCATTTTAAGAATATACAGATATGGTCTAGGTGTAAATATGGATAATATTTGTGAGATGTCATTTGCCTGTGTAAAGTTGTGTCCTGGGTGGCATGAAAATATCTACAAGTTCCCGGTTTAGGTAGAGGCTTTCAGAAGCTGGCTGACTACTTTATTGTACAGGTTCATTATTTATCACTCTTGTGGAGTGTTAAAGAACAGTGTGATCAGTTCTCAATAGGGGGTTTCTGGACTGAGATCACAGTTCAGGGCCCCGTTTCACAAAGCTTTTGTAAGCCTAAGATCTCAACTTTTCTTGTAGCATTCGTACCTCCTATAAGGTAACACTGACTTACGACTGTCGTAGCGCTGCGAGAGCTTTGTGAAACGGGGGCCCTGGTCCACAAAATTATCTTGGAGCACTAACCTGCTCCATGGTGTGTTGAAGCATTGTCATTGTTTGGGCTCAGACTTTGTTCATGTATGGAAACCTTTTAGGGCTCTTAAGGTGAAATTTCAAGATATTAATTTGAAATTTACTAAAAATGACAAATGTCCCTAAAAGGCTTCAATACTTTGGGGATAAGCCCACACATCGGTGATGGAGGCAGAATTGAAATGACATTGTGCCATTTTCATTGGTAATTTAGCTTCTTAGAGAACTTTTAGATTGTGATATGTAAAAATTCTTTGTGTAAATATATGTGACTGAGCCGTATGAATGTACAGTTGAAATGTAAATATAATTGTTGCAAGCACTGCTTTTTTTTCTCATGTTTCTTTTTTCCAAACATTTGTCAAGTCCTGCATGGGACTTGAAGATATCCTAGATATCATGCAAGTAGGCAGGTAGGATTGACAATACTACAACCTTGTTTATTATATTTGCCACCTAAGTTAAACCCCCTGGTGATTCCATGTTAGAACTGATCCCTACCAACCTATGCTGATAGAAACTTGATTACTGTGAAGGTCCGGGTTAGAATCAGTACCGGTAACCCATGCTTGTCGTAAGAGGTGACTAACAGGATCGGGTGGTCAGGCTCGCTGACTGGGTTGACACATATCATTGTATCCCAATTGTGCAGATCGATGGCCATGCTGTGGATCACTGGATTGTCTGGCCCAGACTTGATTATTACTGACTGTTGCCATTTGGCTGGAATATTGCTGAGTGTGGCGTGAAACAAGAAACAAAAAATACTTGATTAAACTGATGCACAGGCTCGGTGACATGGGTCTTTGTACTTAATGGCTGAATTTTGCATGCGCATGCATCCACACGCACGCGCGCACATGCAATGTGTCAGTTTCATGTGAATTTCATTCTGAATTAGGTTTAGTCTCCAATATATCCTTCAGTAGAATCTAGAGCAACAATATGGAAGAGACAAAGAGAGGATCATGCCTGAAAGTCTTCATTTCAACCAGGGGTAGCCTAATGGCTAAAGCGTTGGCTCGTCACCCCGGGTTTGATTCCCCACATGGGCACAGTGTGTGAAGCCCATTTCTGGTGTTTACCCGTGAAGGTCCGGGTTAAAATGAACCTTCAGTAAAGGTGCGTTCTCACGGTGCGACTTGTAGTAACAACTTGTAGCATACGACTTTGAGTAACAACAAAGATCGTAACGACTTTGCTATTTGTGTACTTTTTAAGTCGTATACAACTCGTATCTTGCGACATTCTCACGTATGACTCAGCAACATGGATTCGTCGAGTGAAGAAGAAACGCTAGCCATGATAATGTCGGTCTACATATCACAGTCGCTTAAAAAAAGAAGACAAAGCCTAAATCTGTGTGGGTCCATAACTGGATTCTCAGGCGGAACACGGCTGGAGCGTATAACTCGCTTCTTCGAGAGCTTGAACAGGAAGATCCAAGGTCACTGAAGAATTTTCTCAATATGGACAAGGCGAATTTTGACATTTTGTTGGAGAAAATTTCTCCATACATCGAGAAGAAGTGTACCCCCATGAGAAACAGTATTCCTGTTGGAGAGAAACTGGCACTTACCATACATATTTAACAAGCGGTAAGTTATGTGGTGGGTAAATGAAGCACAGATACTGCCATTTCATTTCGTAAAGAATCCAAACTATTCTGTTAGGTTTCAAGTACGTATCAGTACAAAATATTATCAAAAGTCATGGTAATTCCTACTTTCGCGCGTTGACCACCTTGAACTAAGGAAAAAGCACTCTGCATCAAGTATGAGGGGGGATAATCAGTAGATGTTCTTGAGTGAGCGAAGCTTCATAAATGAGTGTCATTAGTGATTATTCAAATGAGTACAAGAAGTGTTAGTGGGATATAAATTTAGGAAATGTAAATATAAATTGAAACATTTATGTAAATGTTCATGCAAACAAAAGCGTTTAATGTTGGGAATGGTGTTTTGAAATATTGCGTGGCGAGTCTGTTGTCCCTTTTGGAATATGTGGCATGTTGAACATTCCATAGACATTCCTGGGACAAATAGAAACCTATAAACCGCTCGGTTTATTCCCTTGTGAGGTCAATCTTTTCTGGCTGGCTCCGACATGATGTAAACATAAACAAAGGGGACGTCACTCTTAGGTGGACACAGATGTAAGCGGTTTGTTTGGTCGAGAGCTTGCGACTTGTAGTAGGAATTAGGACAAGTCCTATGTCTTACAACTTGGCTGCAACTAGTTGTATGCGATTTTACATCGTTACGATTTGGATGTTCTCACGCTGCAACTGTGTTGCATGCTACAAGTTGTTACTACAAGTCGCACTGTGAGAACGCACCTTACCCATGCTTGTCGTAAGAGGCGACTAACTGAATCGTTTGGTCAGGCTCGCTGGCTTGGTTGACACATGTCATCGGTTCCCAATTGCGCAGGTCGATGCTGTTGATCACTGGATTGTCTGGTCTAGACTCGATTATTTACACACCGTCGCCATATAGCTGGAATATTGCTGAGTGCGGCGTAAAACTAAACTCACTCACTCATTTATGGTGTCCCCCGCCGTGATATTGTTAGAATATTGCTAAAAGCGGCGTGAAACTATACTCACTCACTCACTCATTTCAACCAACAGTTACGGGATCCTAAGACAGCAATGGGATGCAATTTTGCTCTGCAGATTGCAGTACCTTAGACCTCCGGAACACTTTCCCATTTGTTAAGCTCACTTTAGGATACTGGCAAAAAGGGTCTGAACCCAAGGTGCATCCCTACATAACTACAGTTGCCAGCACCAGACTGGTGCTTTGATATGTCAAACTTTTATTTCGTCCTTGTATTTTCACTATGAGCTACATAATCTACCCTGTTTACACAATATTTTTGGTCAAAGTTATCATCTGGGAAAGAAAGTCATTGACTAATTGAAGCATCACACGTTTTCATAAAAATATTCCACATTTTTGAAAAAAGGAAATTGGAACTATCAGAAAATCAGGAATATTTTCCGAAATTACAAAGCACAGAAATCATGCAATAAAATGTTCAAAACGGAAATGATAATAACTAAATATAGAACAAAGACCTAAAAAGTATCCAAAAACTTTTCACTGTCAATAATAGTGAGTGAGGTTAGTTTTACGCCGCACTCAGCACTATTCCAGCTATCAATAATATGGAACACAAGGTTTCTTGTCGGATTGTCTGCCCTCTAAAACGTAGCATATGCTGACATTATGTTTTGTGTGGCGTGACTCTGTTGCTCATTGAAAGATATTTTTAGTTTTGACCAAGGGATGGGGATCAGATATTTTTCATTTTAGATGTATAAAAGTAAAAGAAGGCGTAAAACTGTATCACATGGCAAGGAGACAATGTCCATTTTAGGATGCCATTTTTTCTTAGGTACACATTATCAATAATTAAGTACCACCTGATTTAAAATCGAGGGCCCGTTCCACAAAGCGATCGTAGCGCTAAGATGATCGTAACTCCCATACTTTAATATAGACTTACGACTGTCCTTGCACTAGAATCGCTTTGAGGAACTAGACCCTGGTCGGGAATCTAATGACAAACCCTGATCTGAGCACCTCTGAGAATACCTTAGTTGCCAAGTGAGAGCAGGGGATCCTCCAGGAGATCCTTGAATGACCGATCCTATCACTGCACTGGAAATGGCAGGGGACCCCAGGGTTCAAGTAGTTCAGCAGCTCAGTATTTAAAGCTTTCGGTTGTCACAATGAAGACCTGGGTTCGGGTTCGCTTCTTCAGATGGGTACAATATTTGAAGCTGATTTCTGGTTGGGCCAGTAGTTTAAGTATTAGCACTGTACGATAGACAGTGGGTGTTAATGGGTACAATTTGTAAAGCCCTTTCCAGTTTTCCATCACATTGATATTGGGAGGAATGTTGAGAAATGTGGTGTACCACATGCTCTGATACAAGCGAGAGACCTGTTGTGGCGTACCACTATTGCTCTGATATCAGCCAGGGGTCCGCTGCACAATCAATACCAAGTTGATCGAAACAAGTTACAATGTTTCGAGGAGCTGGTCCTGGACATTTGTGCGTCTGGCAAAACCCTGCAGGATGCTAATAAACATATGGGTTCGCATAATTCAGATTCACTCTTCAATACACTGTACTGATTGTGTGTTCAAGGTCATTTAGAATACATTCCTGTCTAAAAATTGGCACACGTTTGGATTTTGGTTTCATGAATTGACTGACATTTGCCAATCGTGGACGGAAACCTATCAGATGGTTTTTATTTTGTTTTTCGCATTTGTCTTCAAATCGTGCTGTCTAAATATTTTTTTAAATACAAATGTTCAGTCATTTCATAAATAAACTACATTCAGGAAGTATGTTGACATTTGTATCCAACATGACATGTGCCAAGTATATTCGATTTCCCACAGTGAAGCTCAGTTCTGGTGTCCCCTCTGTAATATTGTTTTTAAATACTGCTAAACGCTTCGTAAAACTATCCTCACTGACAACAGAAAACACAAAATTCTTAGCAGATGTATTTATTTCAGACTTTATGATAGCTTACAGTTTCGTCTATGTAAATCCACTCTTTGCACAAAATGAGAGACCCCAGGTTGGGGTTTGATATTTATGGCTATGTAGTTGGCTGCAGTGGTTACTTGAACGATGTTTGCTCCCTTTACTGTTCAACCCAGATCCCCAACTCCAACAGTATGACAGCTATGACTTGCATTTTATGTCACCAGGTGGCGCTGGTAAAGAAAAGACAACACAAAATTGGTTTCAATCAATTGACATTACATTTAAACTGACAGTAAAAGATAGCAGCTGCGGAGTGCTTACTTCACCATCAGGGACCCTTCCTAATATATGGCTTGTGTGTGCGTGTGATATTTTAGGGGAGAGGGTTCACTCATGTTTTTTTGTTTGTTTGTTTGTTGTTGTTGTTGTTTGTTTTGGGTTTTTTGGGGGTAAATTAATATTGTACATGCTTACATTAAAATGTTATGGGGAGGGGGGTCATTGATTTTGTACATGACATGCACTTACTTTGTACATGGAATTTAGGGGAGGGTCATTCACATTGTACAGTTTGACTACAGGTGAGGTGAGGTGAAATTGGGTTTTACGTCGGGCTTGAGAATATTTCCCTCATATGACGACGTGCATGCATGTGTATGTGTATGTGCGGCTGCTTGTACTAGCCCAGTCTTAAGCTGGTTTAGTTAGACTACAGCAGAAGATAGTGATCTTAATGACTTATGAAATGACCAAATGGTACGTTGGCCAGGAAGGGTGACTTGTTTGACGTCATGTTTGGTTTTATTCTTAGCAATTTTCCAGCTATATAACTGGAATGAACATCGATCTTAACAACTGAGATGTGATGATATGCATCAACCAAGTCAGCAGCCTGACCTCCCGATCCCGTTAGTCGCCTCTTTGGACAAGTATGGTTACTGAAGACCAATTCTAACGCGATTCTCACGAGCTGATGGCATTTAATTTTCAAAAATTTCAATTGTTGAAAAATATTAAAAACACCAGCCTGTCAGGAATTACAGCTCTAGGAGTTGGTATGTGGCTGGAATAAAATGTAATCGTGACATTTAAATTAAGAGTTGAGTGTTTCCTTAAGATCAATAAGTCTAGATAATTATAAAAATAAATAAATGTTTTAGGCAACATCATTTGCACTCATCTAATATACTAAATATTCAAATTACAGCAAATGCGGTGAAGCTCTACGTGAATGGTTGTTTCCATAACAAGTTTTATTCAAAGCGTAAAGAATAGATCACAAGGAGATCACACTGACTTGTCACATCAAATGGACCATTTTACACAGATATGTTTTAGATTTTATGTGTCCCTATTGCTGGATTATTGCTAAAATATTGCTAAAATAGGCGTAAAACTAGACACACTCACTGGCGTAGTGAGGTGAGGTGAGGTGAGGTGAGGTGAAATTGGGTTTAACGTCGTGCTTGAGAATATTTCCCTCATATGACGACGTACATGCGTGTGTATGTGTATGTGCGGCTGCTTGTACTAGCCCAGACTGAAGCTGGTTTTATAGTGCTAGCCCACTGAGATACCATGCCCCAGTGATGCATGAATACCCCACTCAGACACATTATACTCACTCCGAACCGACCAGTCCTTGTACCCATTAATGCCAAGCGCCAGGCAGGGACCAACAAGTACCATATTTTAACGTCATTTGGTATGACGCGGTCGGGGATCGAACCCGCGACCTTCCCCACTCCGGGCGGACGCTCTAACCACTACACCAGGGAGGCGGTCACTGACGTAGTCAGAGAACTTCTTATCAACAACAATCTTCAGTCCGCTACAATTATTATTTTGTTCATTTGTCATTATAAATGTTTCTAAATGTCTTTTTAAAACTGGAAGACCTCTACTTTGGTATTTAAAAGACACCAGGGTGAGATTCTGGTTATCCAAAATAATGTTTGTGTCAATCAAACCTTTCCACTTTATAGCAATAACAATCACTGCCACAACACTGTTGAGGGAGGAAAACCTTACCCCAGTTCCATGGTATATTTGACTTCATTTGATGCGTTGCCATGGTAACTTATGACTTCATCCATTAATCCATCCATCCAATATATCTGGGAGATTGATCTGCTTGATTTCACCATGTTTGCGATACTGCAGTGTTGGGGGTGTATTTAGGGGAAATACGGTATCCGAAAGTTAAAGAAATGTATCCGTTACTCACTGTCAAGGAGATCTTGCATATAGTCTGCCCACCGGGGAAGAAGGCCTTTCCTTATCAAAAAGCCATATGAAAATCGCAGAGGCACTCGCCTCCCAATCTCAGCCCCAATGCTTAAGTAGTCATGTTCTGTTGGACTGTTGGCCTGTTGACAGAGAAATCTCTTTTCAGTTGAATTTTTTTTATTCTCATGAAAACACTGCATGGTGATCATTATCAACAAGTGTGTTCTATCGGGTTTTAGGGGAAATGTTATTTATCGCGATTCAGCAATATTTCAACTGTGCATCATGGGTGCCTTTGAGTTCACTACATAGTAAAGTAGTGCTTGACACCATGACACACCATCGATGAAGTCATATATAAGTACGAGCTTCTGGATACATGGTCTGCGCTACAATTGACTATTTGAAATGCACAGAGAAAATAATTCCGCATCGGGGTCGACATATACTGAGAGACCAATGGCATTTGGGGATTTTCATTAAAAAAATTGTGGACTCTGTCCTTACTACATTAAATGACTCCCAAAATATTTATGATGATTTGTAGCTTTTGTTTTGTTCAGCATATGTAGTATACGATTACACATTTTAAGATTCGGGTTAGAATTGATCTTCAGTAACCCATGCTTGTCGTAAGAGGCCACTAACGGGATCGGGTGGTCAGGCTCGCTGACTTGGTTGACACATGTCATCGTATCCCAATTACGTAGATCGATGTTCATGCTGTTGATCACGGGATTGTCTGGTCCAGACACGTTTATTTACAGAACTCCCCCATATATCTGGAATATTGCTGAATGCGGCGTAAAACTAAAGTCACTCACTCACACTTTTGAATAGAAAATAACATACCAGTTTCTTCATCCTCTCTCGCGCAAATTTGAGAAAGCTTGGCCAGTGTGTCTGCATGTAACGTATATTTACAAAGCGTAGAATCTTCCTCTCTTTGTCGCTTGGAAAATAAATAGGGAAACGTTTATAACGACAGGTAAAATATGTCCGCACTCTAAACGGAGTGTCTTCGTAAGCTTGGTTTGAAGCTGTTCTGTGTTTATTTTTATAGTATTTAGTTTTTCATAGCACATCAGATCAATCTGGGGGAATGCCAAAGTACTGACAGTTTTTCGTTTTACTTTTCTTTTTTTGATTGGCTGATATATTTATACTGATACTATGTACATGTGCATATCTGGATTATCAACCCGATTTTCATTTTGTATATAAAACAAAGATGACTTAAATAACTAAAAAACCTGCTGACTTTGTACTTTTTCTTCCCAAAACATCAATAACCTGACTCGCAGATACAATTTAACTGAAATACCTGGTAAAGATACGCTACCGCAACATTGAAGCAATCATATAACGTTTCAAAATTGGAATTTGAACATTTAGGGATTTAGTAGTTATTGCTGATACGGCTTTGCAATGTGACTTATTTCGCTGACTACAAGACCAAAATAAAAGAGGCTTTAACACTTGATGTTGCAATATTATTTTAACGTTAAAATACTTCTAAAGTTAAGGAAAAAAACTTTTTAAAATAAAATAAAATTACTTTGAAGAAAATGTTAAAATACTTCTGAAGTTAAGAAAAATGAAAATGAAAAATAAAATGAAATTACTTTGAAGAAAATCTTGAACAGCACTTGTGATTACTGGATAGAAGTTCAAACTCGCAAATGTAATCCCTTAATTAATAACTAAATACCTATAGATGTATTTGTAAATTTTAAAATAATTAGAGAAAACTTACCTGACTGTTTGGCCATGTTGAACCAGCCACCCATCCAGTTGTCTGTTGAAACCAGTAATGATGCCTGTCTTCATGGCGGACCGGTTCGTCGAGGTTCGATCCTTTGCGGAACGATCTTCGAAGCAGAGATACTTAGTTTAAAAATGAGTGATTGCAAAAGAGCCCCCAAATACTAACCAGTATTAAGATAAACCAAAAATGTATTATGAACTATGAAGTCGTGACATGCGCATTCATACTGAAATGTGGGTGAAAAGACAATAGACCCCACCCCCAAAACCAAAAAATATATTTCCCCAACCTTGATTTTCTTTGGGTTTTTTATGGTGACCAATAACACCCTTCTGGTCAGGATAAGCACAAGTTTGGCCTGTTATCAGAAATGTCTAGGTTCAGTGCAGTTTCTACTGGCCTAAACGGCCATGTAAATACTTTCTTTTCTTCTTCTTTTTTATGATGTATGTAAATCCCAAGTGATAAATGTGTTGAATTCGCACAATAGAACTATCGTTAAAGCAATAGCCATATTTCTAAAGCGTATTTTCCAAGAATGTTTGAAACAGTCTAGAAACAGTGTTTGTTTTTTCTCTATTGTCTTATCACGTGATTACAAATATGTTGCAACAACAATAACATGGGCCAGAAGGCCAATATTACTGAAAATAAAATCTGTCGGTCAATTTTTTTTAGTTCATTTTGTTCATCATTTATTATTTTTAAGGGTTGAATCAATGTTGATGTGTAAAATAGCAAGCTACAAAGTGAGGACTCGTTTGCCATCACCCGTCCATCATTCAGTTACAATGGCTCTTGGCTCAGTCAGCTGACAGTCCAGTCATTCTACCGTATACTGTCCCATTACCTAGATCAATACGTGTATATTTAAAACTGTTACCCAGTCGTCACTCTAGGCTGCTTATATTTTTGACATACTATCGTGAAACACTTTTCCGAAATATTATTTGTGCAATTAAACGAGTGGGCTAAAGAGTGACCTAAATAGAGATTATTACACGAGCAAGTGTGTTATACGACTTATACGAAACGAGTGTGAAATTTTGTATTGCCCGAGCGAGAGCCACGTATAAGTCATGTGGCACACTTGCGAGTGTAAAACTTTCTTTATTATCCATTTTATTCATGAACATTTGTGCAGTAAAATACGGTAAGCAAGTGTGACTGCCCTGTTCATTGACGTTACGTTCAATTGTTTAAGTGACGTCACAGACGACGAAATAGAGAAACAATGGTTGCAAGGCAAAAATGATATATATGACACTGGTTATGTTTCACCATATGGATAATAAAGAAACATAAACACTGGCATTTAATTGAGGAAATACGGTAATTTCATTTGCTTATTACACCAGTTTCCTTCATGCAGAAATCCGCCGTAATTGTTACCTTGTTTCATTCTGTCACTTTGTATACATTCAACTCTGCAATTCGTAACGGTATGACCAGCTGATCAGGCGACAAGCAACACAGATACCAAACGAACGTGACATTTCACAAACAAGGGCTAGAGTAGCTTCCCTTGGATAAAGGGCAGCAACTCTAAAGGGTAGAGAGTCAAATACTAGTATATAGTGACAGTGTGTCGGCAATTGCTAATGTGTGTTTTCTGGCCTGTATGTAGTTACGCTACTGTCTAAGAAATAGTTTTCAGGAGGAACTTTATTGGCTTCTGTCACTGTCGACTGAAACGTGACATATCAGTTTTATTGATATACTGATATATATACATGCGGAAATTCCAGGAACATTACAATGTTTTGATAATGTGTTTTTTTGCGGGTTGAGAACAGGTCTCCCAATGACAGAATTTAAGAGTGACATTAAACGATAAACAAGTTTTGTTTTAGTAATGGTAAATATTCTGTTTGAGGTACAAGCACTACACTAGCTCGCAATGGCTCACTAAATATGGCAGGATGTACAAGATATATACTATTCCAAATCAAGCTTGTGTGATAACCTCTGTGTATCTATTACTGTTTAATACTATATATAACCTCTGTGTATCTATTAGTTTAATACTGTATATAACCTCTGTGTATCTATTACTGTTTAATACTATATATAACCTCTGTGTATCTATTACTGTTTAATACTATATATAACCTCTGTGTATCTATTACTGGATACCATATATGCTGCCATAATAGAAATGAAACATGGATTAATTTGATTTTTGATTGAACATAGGAGCTGATGTCTGTCAAGTCTTGTAACGTATGTTCTTAACATGTCTTTCATTAATAACAAGTGTAGAAGTGAGCATAGCTCACATACCCCCGCTTCCCACTTTGGGACATGGAAATGACTGATATTGATATATATAATGTGACAAGGATCAGCAGCTCACAAGACTTTCTCTTTGACTCTACTAAACTTTATATACATGTTAGATAATAGTTTTGGCATGTACTGATTACGGTATTAATTTCTGGAAACTAGATTTTTGTTGGTGTTTTCCGTGGAAACCTGACATACAATTGAACTTGACTGTCATGTTGCACACAATGAAGTGGACGTAGATGAAGATTGCTATTTTTTAGCACATGGCATATCTGTGGGTCATGATTAACAAAAGTTTGGTGAACCTAGCATGTATAGTTTCGATGATATGCCGTGGTCAGGAAACCATCAAATACATTTTGCATGTACCTAGCATGTAAACTTTAAGAGATATGCTCCGGACAAAATAATCGAACACATTTGGCACTAAGTCATGTTTCCATGGAAACAGCAAAATATGAAATTCATATCTGGATCTAAACCCCAAAAGGCACATCTAGGGATCATGCTTGACATGTGTACCAAGTTTGATGAAGCTAGCATGTATAGTATGGAAGATCTGCTCCGGACAAGATGACATCCTCATAGTCACAGCCTAAGTCGTTTCCATGGAAACAGCAAAAAAACTAAATTCTGAAAAAACTTTAAAATAGCAAAAGACACATCAATGGGTAATGATTAACATGTGTGTGAAGTTTGGTGAACCTAGCATGTAAACTTTAAGAGATATGCTCCGGACAAAGTTTCGGGACGGACGGACAGAATGAACGCTATATATACCCCCGTTACTTCGTAACCCTTATGGGTGACTCTTCTGCTACCCCCTTTTTGTGCGATTGCTTATCCGTTGTTAAAATTCGTGATATATCGCGCCACTGTTACGCGACCACCAATTCAGTGTTCATTTTTCACTTGTAAGATGGGTTTGAAAATGAACTCTTCCCCCGCTACCTATCGTAAGTCCAATTTGTTGGCATGGAAACAAGATTTGCATTTCTTACTACTAAATAGCAAACGGCGCCAGTTTTTCAACAAGAAATATTGAACTGTCTCGAGTTATAACCCCTATCAATTTTCAACCAGTAATATTTGGCATGGAAACCGAATACGTTTATATATGTCCAAAGTTGACATTGAAAGACAGAACAATGAGCAAACTGGCTGAACTCCTCAAGCACCTGCTTGTGGTCTTGGACAGATCACGTTAAAAACATTAACGTAACATATTGATCGAGCATAACCGCTCCGACAAATCTGCTATCTTGATCAAATAAATCTGCAATTGATTGGGCACACTTTCGTATGACGTGGTCAACCTAAACTGTATTCACTGCAAATTTCAGTGAGAGGAATTATAGCCTTTAAGTCGATATTTCAAGACATTAATGGTAAAAAAAATAATTGTTTTCATATTCGAATAATACATCTTGATAATAGTTTTAAATGATACAGTCATTCGTAGTTATTGTCTCCTGGGACCCGTTTCACAAAGCTATCGTAGCGCTGCTACTGTCGTGCCTCCTATATTGTAACATAGACTTACGACAGTCGTAGTGCTACGACGGCTTTGTGAAACGTGGCCCAGCAATACAACCTAGCATTTTCCAGAATCAAGAGAGTTAACTGAAACTCAAGTTATAGGCTGTTAAACCTTTTGCCTCAGAGAGATGATTGCTAGGTGACAGATGATGTTTTCTTATTGTATTCTCACACACACACACACACACACACACCATTTTGTAGACAGTCGCTTAGTGAAGAATCCTGCCATTCAAAAACAGATGTACCATTTCAACGCTAATACATATCGTAGCAAAAGTATTTATTTACTATTGTACAATGTTTACGAGTTAAATAGAATATATCGGGTGAAAAATCTGGCCACCCCGCGCTGAGATGACGTCATGGCCCCATTCAGCGTTTGATGAAAGACCCCCATCTCTGTCTCTTTACGTCATGCCACGGTTGTGCATTGGTTCCACGTGCATTATCGAATTGGGATATTTTCCACGCGTTCTGTAAAAACAAAACAAACCTCCATAAGAAGTTCCAAATAACAATGCGTTTAAAATGAAGTTGTGTTACCGAGATTTAAAACGAACGAATCCTGTTTGTTGTTTATGCAATCCCTATTGGTCGATAAGAGAGTGAGTGTTACTGAAGAAATGGAATAAGCTCTCCGTGTAGAGTCATACACTGTAATACCGAAGGGCTGCAGAAGTACGCTTTCTGATTAGTCTGTATATCTCCATAAAAGCATATATAACATCATCAAATGATGTGAAACAGGGAACGAGAAAATATCTAAAACAATGTACATGCATACATACATGCACACACGCAGACGTACATGCACACACGCAGACGTACACCCTAGGCCTAACTGATGCAAAACTTAATACTATTTTTGCCCAAAAGGTACTAATTTTGCATCATTGGAATAAAATGTGTTTGAAATTTATTGTGTATGGTACGTATGCTATTTGATAGTTTGATTTGTAGTCGCGTATTTTGTGTTGTTGTTTTTCCGTAACGAACAGGATAAAATCGTATGGGTTGGCTTCTCTATCTCACACACACTCTCTCACACACACACACACACACACACACTATACTCACTGGCCAGAAGGTTTCCCATGTACTGACGCCATCTAGGGATCAAGTTTCTCCTGACCAAAAGCTGTTAACCCTTTCAACACCGCAGGCCGAATAATCGGCCACAACGTTATGAGTCCCCAGACACCGGAGGCCGATTAATCGGCCAGGCAGTAGTCACGTCAAAATGAGACATAATTTTAGGAACCTACCTGACTT